TCTGTCTTAAGAACAAAACTGAATTTAAAATACTTTTCTAAAACCGTTGACTTTTTCTCTACATTTGATGGAATTTCCACACCAGGATAGTTAAATTATATACAATTATAACATACACAAAAGGCAGCACATTTTACTCAATTATGATTATCACATTTATTATTATAATTATACACAAAAGGCACTCAGCAGTGGTTCAAAAGGTATCAAATCTTGGAGACAAAAGATGCCAAGCCGGCACGTGATGGGCCGAGTCAATCAGAGAGGTCGGACATAATATTTTCGACTCAAACTTCAAATGTTGATGTTCATTTGTCACATTTTAAATTTTGAAGGTTTCTGCTAGAAGAAAATTTCACGAGAAAACCAAAGGGGCCATTTTTAAGGCATCAAAAGTTTTCGAAGACGGAGTTATAAGCTTCAGAAGTTTAAACATTTTGTCGGACCTCTCCTATTGACTCGCTACACTGTGCGGCACTTGCGAAATGCCCCGGTTTTCCCACGAACTTTCCCGATTTTCCGAAAGATCATTGGAAATCCTAGGTTTAGGATCAAGGGAGCTGATTTCATCAGAAAGGAACCAACCCACATTGAGTTGAAACTGAGAAAAAGAGGGTTGAAGTTTTATTCTTGCATAAGGCTCAATGTAGAAAATAAATTGTAACCTCTCTTTTCACAAAGTACTTTCTCTTTTTCGGCTTTCATGTTTTGACAGGAGGAGATATCCGGCTAGTGAAACTCAAAAACATTCTTAACTCAATTTTTTCGAAGATGTGGGTTGGTTCCATTCTGATAAACTCGGTCCAAGGAGCACCGTTCGCGGAAACTCAGGCAACATTGTCAGGAATACTAGCCGGCGAGGCGGATCCGTTGCAAATCATAAACTCATGCTCATTCAAGCCGCGTGCCAAATTAACGTCAAAAAATTTGCATTCTCCCGAAGAAGTGCTTGTCGCCGCGAGCGTGGCCGCAAGGGAGCCCCCGGTGGCTCTATCAAGATTTTTTGTCGCTCACTCGGCTGTCGGCTCGAGTTTCTGCTTTAACGCGGAATCAGGGCCAGTGCGTGGGTGTGTGTCCACGCGATAATGAGGTGTGGGTAATTTCTACACGTTGCACCGAAAGTTCCGACGTGTCGCGCCAAGCTCGCACGATACACGACAAAAATTTTCACATCGAGTTTTTCCAATTTTAAAAATGATTTTAGTCGAATACTGCAGATGAAATAAACACTTCATCCTATACATGCCCAAAACTATTTTTTTAAATTGAGTTTGTATCTACTTGTTGTTTTTGACGTTATGTACACAGGGTAAACAAGTGTTGAGGCAGAACAAAAATAAAATAGGATTGCATATATCCCAGACATGGATTATCCTGTGTTGAACACATGAAATTCCGTAATTTACACTAACACTAAAAGTCAAAAACTGCGATGGGTCGTTAAAAACCCAATGGGCATATATGGGTTTAAACGTACAATGATCTTTGTGGTTTTTCAGGCTTTTTTGGCTGTGTCGTCCTCTTCTGGGAGAAATATTATCAAACGCGCATTTTTTATCTGAATTAAGATACTAATTGGACTACATTTTGCAATTTGGAACTATAAATTCTAGCCCGGTTTAAAACCAACGTACGTGCCATTAGTTTTCCAATGCACTTAATTGGTTTTCCAGAAGAGCCAGAATTTATAGTTCCAAATTGCAAAATGCAGTCCAATTGTTCCAAATTCCTCGAATCTTTTCACCTGAATCGTTTAACGGAAAACGAAAATCATCAGAGGCTTTAAAAAAATAATGAAGTAAAAGCAAAAGCATCCTACACTTACCATGTTTGGAGGCGAGAATCACGAATAAGCGTCAAGTTTGGCAACGATATACGCGATAATACGCCGATACAACGATGATAAGCCGTTTGACGGCTACTTTTAATTTTATGGTTACATCCAAGTAGAAGGATGGAGGAGAAAATCTTAGTATAATAAGCGCTAAAATGTTATTATGTTATGTCCGCCATCATGCTCATAAATTCCTCTCAGGACACAATATCACAAGCGCAGGATTTTTCGGTAAAAAAAAATACATGTACGTATTTTTTTAAGTTCTAGTAAATCATTCTTGGTGCACACAATACACGCCTTGACGCCAAAATGTAAGCCAGGATAACATCTCAAACCATTGCAATTCAGTTTTTTGCGTCTTCTGTACAATTTACATGTTGCTGCGTGTGAACGCGCTCTACCGACCGCCATGATATTCTTCCCTGAATGAGAACGATTTGACTGTTGATTAAGCATTTGAGGCATTTTATACGAGGAGGGCGTCTACGTCATGAAACACAGCTAAAATTGTGCAGCTAAAAATGTATTTTACGGCTAAAATTGTACTCGTGCATTTGAAAAATTTTTCTAAAAAAATTGATTAAAAATTCAAAGAATGGATGAAAGAACATTTTTGAGTGGTCATTGAAATTGACACAAGATTCGGATGAAGTCGCACACTTTTAGCAGCGTTGCGAGGCAGATGCGCTCTTATCACACAATAGGTTTAATTTATTTCGACATTTCAGACCATTTCAGTAGCATTGTAACTTTAACCAGAACTTTCGGCTCGTCTTGAAATCAGGTCATGAGCAATATTACAACAAAGGCACTTTTATCTCCGTGAAAAAGTTGGTTGATTCCTTATGATAGAAGAATATATTATGTTCATATTGGAGGAAGAGGAATATGTAAAAGTGAAGTAAATGCGTAAAAAGTAGTCATTCGTCAATGTCGACATACGAGCGGTAAATGATGATTATTCAGAAAGGAAGAATAGTAGATGCTGCTGTCTTGTGCAAATTTACCATTTCTTTCCGACTAGGAACTATCAATTTCTTTGTTATTATTTCGATACGTCAACGACGCAAACAAGCTAAATGTGCCATGCACAACCGTCAAGCGTGACGCAAGATTCCTTGTTTGTTTATCTTGTATTTTGATGGAGACTGCAAAGGATTAATGTTTCAACATTCAGAGATGGAAAAAATACCCTATTTTTTATTGATTAGGTGGAGGGGATTGTAACAAAGCCTCATCACCCAAGCCGATCACCGATAGTTTAAATAATGATTGGATTTTTGTCAAAATCATTGATTATTAAAGTACTAAAAGAGTATACACTTCCACAAAACTGAAGTTTTGTAAAATCGAACAAGGGCTTAGAATGGCGGAGAGGGTCTGGGCGCGTCTTATTACCCAAGCATTACCCGGAGAAATCAATTTTGGGGTTTAACAACCTACCTTTAAACCTTTACTTTGGAGAAGTAATTGTTCACAGTATATTTTTGGGTTCATTAATTTAAGGAACGAGAGAGGTAGAATTCGCTATATTACTAGCGTCTCACAGTGCATGTTTTCCAAATACACAAGGTAGTATCTGAAATGATAATGGGACTTATGGGTCTTCGATTCAAACACTTCGAAAGGCAATATATAAGTACATTTTTTTCAGTACAGGATATTCAATAAGTAAGCAACATAGACGTAACATAGTGAACGAGCTTTTGAGGCATCAAATCCAGGGTGAAAATGCTGGAAGCAAAAAAATAGGCTGAATAAGAGAGGTGTCTTAAGTCTCAAACTATTTCATATTTAGAGGAATAGCTAATTACATACTTGTATCTCTCAGCATTTTTGGAACAATTACATGGGTGATTAAGGAATTGAAACACGTTCTACAGAGTGAAAACTTCGTGTATACCCTGTACTTCGTTATGCTTCAATAAGCTTTAAACGTACTCATCGGTATGACAAACGCCTAAAATTAAGAAATTACAATAAGTGACTGGGATTCATCTCTTTAGGATTGTCATAGTTTCCTCGTCTTGAGCACTTTGTTCACCGCCCCCTGCATATAAACCGGTCTGTGATAGGGCCGAAACATGTATATTATTTTAGGAGTCCTAGAATATAGGCATTCATACCGAAGAAGATGGTTCTTGAAAGTTTAATATCGGCCGATTCATATAATAGTTTCGACCGTCTATTTGACCTTACTAATATTGATAAAGCTTATAAAGCTTCTCAGCAGAAATGAGAGGCGTAAATTCGAGAAAACTATATTGTTGGTTGGAACCCACCAACATCTAAGTGTGTTGAGACACATTTGTTTTGCTCAAGAACACCCAGTTACGAAAATTTTAGTTTTGGCAGGAAGATTGGAGTAAAATAAGAATGTATATTTGATGCTTTTAACAGAGTATGTCCAATGAACAACAACATGCTAGATGAAATCATCTCAAGGAGAAAATTTTAGGGAAGAAACATTAAAGAATGACACTTATGCTTAATTTGCGGGAGGCGCTAACTAAAAACTTAAATCCAAGCGCTTAAAAACGTCTTCATTCTTAAGTTTCAAAACTCACATTGATTGGTCGGAGAAAGTTCCTTGCTAACTTTCAGGACTGGTGGTTTCTTTGTCAATTTGTTCTGGAGGTCAAGAGCGTGCGGGACTTTTTGTCTTTCATCTCTCTACACAAAGACATCAATTTTACGTGTGGGGATTTTCACACGATTTTCTAAATTGAACTGACGATCGATTGAATTCCATCCAATGTACCAAACATTTGTCTGGATCGTACTACGGGTTTAACCTTAAAATTACGTTCAATTATTTTTTATGATCCGTCAAGTTTAACCCAATCTTCACGAGATTCCGTATTATTACGTTGGTTTTTTACGCTAATTTTTTCTATCAATAAAATGTTAAACTCACTTGCACGTTAAAATATTAAATTTTCACCGGCTCGCAACTCCGGCATTCTCAGCGCNTGAGGATGCCGGAGTTGCGAGCCAGCGAAACGCGTGAAATTTTACGCGCGTAATATTTTTACGTGCAAGTGAGTTTAAAATTTTACTGATCATTTATCTTGCACGGGTCTTAAAACGAATTTTTGAATTTTTTCTGTAGTTGAGAAAATGATGAATTCATCGGCCGGAAAGAAATGAAGAGCGGAGCAAATTTACGAGAAACTGGAACATTTAATATAGAGTATATTTGACTTAAAATATGTAAAAAATAACATGATTATCACTGTTAGTGGTTCAACCCCATTTTTGGAAAAGGCCCATCCTCTGGCAACGGCAGTTGGCGCCCCAGAGGTTACATCGGCAGGCGTTGTTCTGACAGCAGCCGTTAGGTCGGTAAGCACAGCTTCCCCCTCGCCTCACACAGTCTCGCCTGCGAACATCCACCATAAAGTCAGTGCAACGATAAATACTACGGCTGAAGGAAAATGGCATAACGATACCCGCACGTATGCAACAAATCAGTCGTTCGTAAAAGAAAACATAGTCAGTATTTTCAAAAATACAACACTCATTTGGAAGCTCTTAAATAACGGACATCACGATTTTTCCGAACTTCAAATTAAAAATAGACCTACGACAATTGGATTTCATTTTGCAAAAAGGAACCAGAAGAATTGCGATGATGCTAAGATTGTGCATTTTCATCCTCTGCAGTAAAATTAATGAAACAATGACAAGATATGAAATTAACATTGTAATTTTGTCTTAAACTTACAGTTTTTAGCGAGTAAAATGGAAACTGTTAGCGGATAATCAGGTTTTCCTTCCAAGACAAGAGAAGTTGCAAAATTTTAAGCAACATTGCAATGCTCCTGCATGGTTTCTTCAACAAAATGCAATTCAATTGGACGCATTTCTGTTGAACGGAACTAACAGCCAACTTGTGTTTCTTTTGAGGATTTTAGAATCCCAGAAAACGCGTTCTGTCAAACGGAACTAAGCGTCATGGAAAAACATTGCGACGGAACGAGCATAGCGTTCCGCATCACCCGCCAATCCAAGCACCCCTCTCCCTTCCTCCCCCTACGGCGCTCAGTTCCGTTTGATAGAAATACGTCCGATTGAGAGTCTTGGATTGCTTGCTTTTCCGTGTAAAGCGGGAAAATAGCGACGACTCGATGATTTTGAGATGAAATACCGCAAGAAAAAATTACAACTAGTCACAGATCAAAGTCCTGGCATATATCCTTTCAGAAATTATTTCGATCGGGCGATTTCTTTATTTAAATTATTTGCGTGCAGTTCCTTGTAACACTAAAAAAGTCTAAAACGTAGGATGCTTAAGATACGAATTTCAGTGAAGTTTTGGCTGAACTTATTTGACTTTCTCTTAATTTAGACTTTTCGCGAGATGACCACGATGTAATATATTGTTAAACTTGTGTAAAACAAAGTGTAATATATTTATGTTACAAAGAATTTGTATTCTGAAGACGGCGTAAGCCGAAAGGTACCTTAGTGATTAAAAAATAGTAAACACAACACCTTGGTTCTTATTCACATACAACTTAAATGGTGTTGTTCAAATTAAACCTTATGAATTTCAGTGAGTTTAGAAATTCAACGAGCCCGATTCTAGATGATTTAGGTAAATATTGTAATCCGCAAATCAGAGAGATATCCCCCCCCCTTCCCGGTGCCAATTTAATTCAATACTACTGGCGTCACTTGTGTGTTCGGCCAACACTTTTTTTTTTTTTTTTTTTTTTTTTTTTTTTTTAAAAAAGATTGTGTATAAATTAATATAATTCGATGAATTTTACTTACTTTTGCTGTGCTGGATGAAATAATTTTTCTATTTCTAAATCTGGATAGTTATTGTAGAGCACATTACTGTCTGGAACAGAAATGCACAACGAGACAATTAAATATCACGACTGATAACGATATTTATTCTTTGCTGGCAAAACCAAAAGATCTTTGGTAAAATACGATAAGAGGGGCTCTTAGAGGAGCAATCCGTAATTTCATGCCGATAAGGGTTTTTTTGAAATTGTGTTCCCTCCTACCATGATCTATAATTAGCGCAATTAACAAAGGACAAAAATAAATTTCTAGGTTCCCTGCCAGGTTGTATACTTTTACGGAACAAACATGTAGAAACAGCTCAAAGTGATAAACACTTTCCGGTTCTGTGATGCAAATTATCCGAACTTATCGTATAAAACACATATGGTTACTTGTCCAAAAAGGTTCCAAGGATCAGTGGCAGTTATGTAACAATGTAACATCCTTAATGTATGCATTTATTGCCCGTAGAAACGGTAAGTTATATTTACGATTTAAGTTCTTCTTAAATTTTACTCATATTGGGTGAAATGGTTCATGCTTCTTTGAAGTCCTTCGCTTACAGTAAAAACTGCGATAAATTTCGGAAAGTTTTGTAAAAAGAGTATTCATCGCGAGTCATTATCTCATTTCAAGTGAGATACGTACTCTTTTGCGAGCTGAACAAATTCTAGAGGACACCTTAATGATTAAATTCTACTTCGTACATTTGTAACCACGCTAGACCTTTGAAATCATTTTCCAACGACGCATTTTGCGAGCTGAACAAATTCTAGAGGACACCGTAATGATTACATTCTACTTCGTACATTTGTAACCACGCTAGGCCTTTGAAATCATTTTCCAGCGACGCGAAGTGCATTCCCAAGAAAACATCACCTCATGAAATCATGGAAAATTTCGCATTGATTAAAAAAAAACCGACTGGAACGATAGTGTATGCTTTCTATTATTTCCCGTATACTCGTGACGAATCACTAATTAGCGCATTTTTAGTGACATTGCACGTACTAAAGGATACCTACTTACCATATTTAAACTTCATTTTCTACTTAAAATGCTGCGCACGACTTTCATTTCGCTGATCTGTTGCTAATGCATGATTAGTTTAATTTTTGGTTAGGAGAAAGTAACACATGAATTTACTTGTAACGATTCATAGCTCACTTACAGAGTGCTCTAAACTTTAAATTCTACTTTAAATTTCAAAGCTCAACAGCAAGAAGGACAAATTTGGTGGAATTTTGGTTTTAATTTCGAGAAAGTGAAAGTTTGTTAAGAAGGTACTAGATTGGATTCCTCCTTGAAGGTGATGTAGGGGTACTTGCCCCTCATAATAGGTGATTAGATTCCAGAAGGTCACGACGTGTGGGAATTTTTCCTTCTATTACGAGAATTTTTGGACCTATCCCTAGCTCCCATTTTGCAGAAAGATGCCAGTGTAATAAATATTGCTGAAGCGCATGATCATCTTTATCTTGCATTAACAGGTGGCCATTTAACATTTAAGTTCCATAACTTATTGCATTATGGAAGATTATTCTCAAAATTTGGTCCAATGAATTGGCTTATGTGTTTTCGATTTGAAGAATTTCACCAACGTGGGAAGATTGCATCTGCCTACTTAAATTGTCATCGTAATGTACCGAAATCAACTTCCATCAGATACCAATTACATATGTATGTGTGATCTTGTGCATTCATCAACCTTGTCCTCCGATGATCTTGAATATGGCCCAGCAGTGCGTGTTACTTTGGGAAATTTGAACCAGTTTCAAGTTCGAGAGGCATTGATGAACTTAAACTTTCCAGACAGCGTAGATAGCTGCTCTTGGATTAAGCTAAACAACAACATTTTTCAACCAAAAATATCATCGCGTGTCACTGACGATGACATGCCATGTTTTAGAAAGATCCAGAAAATAGTTAGATGAAAGATATTTCAGCTCGTATCTGATTGAAAAATGTGATGCTAATACGATCATAAGTGAAAATGATCTTAACATTGTTCCTCCCTTCTCACGGTTTCAAATTGGCGACAAACTCTTTGTTACTTTCATACTTTGCCAAACAAAACGTAACATGTGATTAACACTTGAAATTCCTGAAATGATTATCTTGAGATTCGCTCTCAGTGAGCCATAGACCTCATTAATTAGGAAAAGGTCACTCCACTTTGGTTTCCTTCATTTTTTTTCAATTGTTTTAATTGTATTTTTCTTTTGTTTTTGGTCATTTTAATTCTAGTTTTTGTAAGTATTTAACACACCTGGAGCGTAATCGTGGATAGGTAGCATTCAATATGAAATTACCAAGAGCAATTTAGCAGATGACCTTTGATTCGATAGACACGGATGACGATTAAGCTACTTGTACGAGTATCTATGTATAAAATTTTGCTTCGATTTTGCTAGGTCCATAATATTTTAGCGGCAATTTCCCCGAAATTTTCCGGTAATTTTTTGGCTAACTTGGTCTCCAAGACAAATTTTGACGTCCTTGATGGTTGTGTGATGCTAGCCGAAAATGAATAATCGAGTTCCTTTCACCATTTTTAACCTTCAATCAATTTAAAATTTTCAGGTAGTATTTGAATATTCAAAATGTTTTTTTGGTCTTTCAGCATCTTATCAATGATAATGCTTCACCCAGGACTAAGTAGGTCAACTTCAATGTTGCTTGCACAAAATGTGGTGTCTCTTTTTTATGTAAGGTTTGCATTTTTTTCTTGGATAAGCTGCGAGACAAGACACCAATTTTTAATGACTTTTCAGTTCATTTCGTGTACATTTGGAATCAATTAGTGACATTATATTCAGTTATCTAAAGCGTGAACCCCATAAAATCCGATTGCTTGCGATATGACACCCTACCGACGACTAGCACTTCATTGCCAGCGATCAATGTTACACTGTCTGCGATCATTGTCTCAGTTTTGGGCATGTTCACAACCGGAAGAAAAAATGACATATAGTGCGTAGAAAAAATGGGGAGAGATATTCGTTTATTTAGGAAAAAGCCTTACATCTGTGTATGAGTATTGTAAAAGCAATTATTCTTCTATCTTCGTACAGCTCTTTCGTTCAAAAAAAAATGGTCCAAGAGGGTAAACAATATACGGTATGAAATAAATGTTTAGTACATACTGCACTACTCGTCAGGACGTATTGACTATAACGTAGGATGTATTTAATGAAAAAAAAAGAGGAAGAAATAAAATGTACACTATGATACATAATGGAGGTTCTATTCTATGCGTCGCGCCTTGGCGCACATTGTGTGCAAGTTCACGAACACGTATAAGTTGTTGCGTTTTCTCGTTTTGAAGGCACTTCAAAGTTTTCAAGCCTGAAATTAATCACGAAGAGTAGTAAACGAGAAACAAAAATTCGACACGCAATGTCGGTAAATAGTTTTGATTTGTTAATCGTCCTAACTTGATTACGAACAAAGAGGTAAATTTGCATAATCACAGTTCGGATTCATTTCGTGAATATTTCCTCGCGAAATATAGATTATATTGGCGTTACGGGACCAGCAAGTTCAATTTAGCAAAAATGAATTGCACTGGACTAAAACTAAGAAAATTACCGAATACTCATAGGGGAAAACTCTCACGCGTGTTTCTCACGGGTGAATGTGTTCTTGTAACCACTCTTCAAGGAGTGTTTATTTGAGTTCTCTACGAAATAAGCATTCTCGCAGAACTTACGGACCGGTCATTTGCTAATCATTGATCGTTATTATATTCTAAATACAACCACGTTTCTCAGTGTGAAAAAGATGGTGTATACCGCATACACATAATAACGTAGATATCCGAGTTAAAATGGAAAACTCCAAGTTGCTTTCGGCACCGTGACACGATTTGCGTCCACCAATCTGGAAAGTGTCCGGCAACTATGCTGTGAGCCTTTCACGTATGATAACGAACCATTTGTGTATACATTTTGATGCGGAAAATTGTGCTGGGCGCAATTCACAAAAGAGGGGCGCATCCTTCGTACGCCGGGCTCAGCCCCTTCATCAGCTCGTCGTTCAAATCGCGGTTCTTGTATAATTTTATGGCTATACACATAGACATAATCAAAGCAATTTTCCGAAGGTGACCTAATCCTTCGATGAGCAAATTTCGTTGGAAAAGCGATGCTCAGCCATAAGAATTATGATCTATCAGCTATTTTCGAAATTTGCAGTTTTTCGCCAGTTAGACCATTTATTTGATCAAATTTAAGGGACTTCATGTTCAAATTTGACCATCTTCGGAACCAAATCCGGACGTATTTCGTAATTTTTGAAAAAATCGGAATTTTTCTTGGAACTTTGGCAGATCGAAATACGCTTCTGAAAATCGGAATTATTTCGGAGTCTTTTGATTTAATAAAAAATGGAAGCACTGTCCGTTTGACTTCCTTCAGTGAGGCTGGACAATAAATTTTTTTAAAACACGGTGCTATTTTGACTGTTGCAGCCGAGCTTGCGGGATACAACTTCGGGGTATGGCGGGTGTGGCCGTCGCTGAGCATCACGGAGCTACGGGCGGGAAGCGCAGGGTTCGCGGTCTCGGACGATCAGCTGGCCTGGATCACCTCCCTCTTGTACCTGGGCTTCCTCCTCACGCCTTTCTTCTGCTCCTACTTGGTCGTCAGGCTCGGACGCCGGACCATCCTCTACCTCACATCCGCCCTGCACACCGTCTCGTGGCTCCTCGTCGTCCTCGCTCAAAACCCCTACCACCTATACATCGCTAACTTCTTCGGAGGCCTCGCTGGCGGGGTTGGTAAGTAACGCACATAGACGGACCTACACACTCCTCTACTTTTCGGTGGTGTCCACTGGAAAAAAAAACACATTGGATCTAGAGTCCGGACTCTTGGAAGCATCGACAAAAAACAATGTTCTTGATTAAATCGGATTTCAGCTTAAATCAAGAACCAAGCCTCTTAATTTGAGCGGATTTTCCTTTTGATTTAAGCAAAAATCCGATTGAATCAAGAGTATTTTTTCTTGTCAATGTTTTCAAGAGTCTGGACTCTAGATCCAATGTGTTTTTTTCCAGGGTGTAAAAGTTACGGTGATGGGTCAAAATGTCCAAAAAAAAGGGTCCAGAGTAAAAAAAAATTGTTCAATATAAGAAAAGTCCATGACTAAATGTCCAAGTAATAACTAGGAGACCGGGTTAATATCCCTGTGCTAACCAAGGAGTTGATAAGAATCTGGCTACTTTCATATTGTAGATTTAATTCCTAGGAAAGCTTTTCAGCCATTCGGGCGTCATCAGCCTGAAACACTGCCTCCAGGCGCGGAAACTTCGTGAAAACGTGTTCCGAACTACGCAAATTCGACGGAGCATAGGGGAGAATTTCATGAGCCGCCCTGCGCCGTCCACAGGGCGCATGGTGCACGACCCGCCTGTCATTATTACACTTCATCTAGCGTTGAGAGTTCACCAATTACTTCACACGACCATAGTGTGTAATTTTAAAGGTCAGAAGAATTTGAAAAAAAAAAAAAAAAAAAAAAAAAAACACGAGTTTCACCGTCAAGGAGCTCTCCCCGCAAGAAACCGCCGAGAGAGCCGCGGCGCGCGCGCGGCATGCTACCAGCGCGAAACGCGCTCTGGCGCCTCCAAACCTAAAGGGCTACTTCACGCATTGCGCAATGCTTGAAGTATCCCCTTAGGTTTATAGGCGTCAGTTCACGCATTGCGCAATGCTTGAAGTATCCCCTTAGGTTTGTAGGCGTCAGTGTGCGCTTCAAGCTGGCAGCACGCCGCGCCGCAGAGTGCTATAATAAACTTGCCCACAATTAATTGGTCAGGGTGTTAAAATGAAGAGCAATTTGACATAAAATTCGAAATTAGCGACTCAAAAAAACATCAGTTACGAAACTTTCGTGATCCGTTAATTATTATCCGACTTATTTCTTCCTATTCTTGAGTTTTGGACTATAGTGCGCTCCGGGCGGCGCGGCGGCGCTCATGAAATTCTCCCTGTGCTCAATCGACGCAAATTACGTGCTATTGAGTGGATTTTGGACATTCCAAAACAGGACTATCGTGAGTTTCGTGCTAAACCATTAAAACAGTCACACTGGGAAAAAAAACACATTGGATATAGAGTCCAGACTCTTGAAACATTGACAAGAAAAACGATTCGATCAGATTCAAAATTATTCAAAATGATTCAATCAGATTTTTGCTTAGATCAACAGGAAATCCGCTCAAGTTAAGAGGCTTGGTTCTTGATTTAATCAAGAACCGATCAAGATCCGATTGAATCAAGAGTATTTTTTCTTGTCGATTTTTTTAAGAGTTTACACTCTAGATCCAATGTGGTTTTTTTTTCCAGTGCATCTACACAGCTGTATTTCTTGCGTGAAACAGACCTATCGGTTCAAAGGGAAACACTTTCATCAGCACCCCAAATTCTCAGTTCAATGACCCAAATTTCCGCTCCCTGTCACAGGAATGACGATGGTACCGGTGTACGTCTCCGAGATCTCATCCGTGAACATCCGCGGAGCTCTGATCGGCTCTTTCTTGGTGTTCATCAACCTGGGGCAAGTGATGATGGTGAACATGGGGATCTGGCTCTCCTACCAGGAGGTGAATCTCTTCGGGCTGGGCGGGGCCAGCGTGGCCTTCGTCCTCCAGTTCGTCGTCCTCACGGAGTCGCCCTTCTACCTGCTGGCCTCCAAGCGGGAGGAAAAGGCCACCGAGGCCTACAAGAGGTTCCACGCCAGCTCCGGCGAGGACAAGATAGAGACCGAGGTCTCCGCGCTCAAGGCCGCCGTCGAGAAGGACATGGAGCACAAGTCCAGTTACATGGAGCTTCTCGCCTGCAAGCGGGCCTTCATCATCCTCGTTGTCGAGAGCTTCTTCCAGGTACGGTGTGCAAGAATCCTCACGCACAGTTGGATTGCATTTTGCAAGAAGGAACCACTAGCATTGCAATGATGCTAAGATTGTGCAACTTCATCTTTTGCAATAAAATTGCGGATATCGTGAAAAACTATGAAATTTAGATGGTAATTTTTGTCTTAAATTCACAGTTTTTAGCGAGTAAAATAGAAACTATTAATGGATAATCGGGTTTTTCCTCCAAGACAAAAGAAGTTGCACAGTCTTAGCAACATTGCAATGCTAGTGGTTCCTTTTTGCAAAGTACAATCCATTTTACTACGCGCATTACAGCTATACAGGGTGTCACAAAAGTCTGTAACCCCCCCCCCCCGTAACTTTTGAACGGTTAACACTGGAAAAAAGGGTCGCTTGGATCTAGAGCCCAGACTCTTAAAAACATCGACAAGAAAAAATACTCTTGATTCAATCGGATTTGTGCCTAAATCGAGAACCAAGTCTCTTAGTTTAAGTGGATTTCCTTTTGATTCAGGCAAAAAGCCGATTGAATCAAGAGTATTTTTTCTTGTCATTGTTTTCACGAGTCTAGACTCTAGACGATCCAAGCGACTTTTTTTCCCCAGTGAGATAGAAAAACGAATAGTGTTCTACGTAAAATTTTGGTCAAGAAACATGTATCAGAATGCTTAAATTCGTACCTTGTCTAATGGTCCATTGAACGAAAAGTTGGATGGAAAGTTGGACGCGAAAAAATTTGATTTAATTACAGCTGCAGTGTGATATCGTCTTCAGCCTGCGGTTCGCGACGATACAGCTTCGGCTCATGTCGGTCGGAGGATTTCGTCCTTGCTTTTCATTGGACAAGGTGCATTCAAAAGTTGGATGGAAAGTGTGAATTGGGCTTTAATCTAGGATGGTTTTTGTTGCAGAACCTGGGCGGCGCGAACAGCATGCTGGCGTTCGGGGTGATCTCGCTGCCGAAGACTGAGCTGTTCCTGACGCCGCATCAGACGATCCTGATCTGCGTCATCAGCGGGACGTTCTTCAACTGCATCAGCTCGTCCATCGTCGACTCGGTCGGGCGGAAGCCGCTGCTCGTCATCTCGGTCGGCATGTGCTCCGTCTTCACCGGCGGCCTCTGCGTCTACTTCTTCCTCGTCGAGGAGCTCCAGGTGGACTCCCTCGAGTACGAGTACATCCCCCACCTCCTCTTGATCGGCTTCATAGCCAGCTACACGAGCGGCTTCGCTATCAGCAGGTAATTAGAGTGAGGACCTACAATGGCTCAGTTGCGCTAGTCACAGAATCGTGTTTTGATCCTTAATTCACGCAAATTATAGCTAAAAATTTGCAAATATAACAAACTGCATCATTTGGACCGCGTTAAACAGAAAGGAACCAAGCCACATCAGCTATTGCCAAATTTAATTGGGCAATTTAATTTTTTACACGAAAACGTTTGTGCGGATTTTCGTGCAAATTTCAGTGAAAATTCTCCATGTTACGAAGCAAATTCCTTAAAATTTTCAAAGAAATCCGAACAAACGTTCGCTCGTAAAAAATTTAATTGCCCAGTTAAACTTGGCAATAGCTGATGTGGCTTGGTTCCTTTCTGTTAAACTCGGTCCATTTTACGTTCAATAATATGCCGCTATCACACGCTGAATAAGGGGGCTGAATGTGGCTTGAATGTGGACGGAATTTTGCACGTGTCGCGCAAAATTCAGCAACGATTTTCAGCGGCCATCGGATAATGTCAGATTTTTCTGACCTATTCGAATAGATTTGATACACATATGGATGAAAATAACTCGAATTAGCAAAATTTCGGCTGTTGAGCGATGACTGTTGACTTCCATATTCCGTTGCAAAATTCAGTGTAAGGTTCCAGCATATCCGAGATATCGCCCTTTGAAAAGTCGGGTTTTTGACGTCATCCACCGCGGTAGAGACACCCTTGATTTCTTCCTCTTTTGTTTGAGCAGTGATGAAGAGGGCGCGACCCGAAACTTTAAAGACTTCGAACATAAACAAACTCAAGAAACAAACGGATTTGCGATTCGAGCATCTTCTAAGAAGAACGCACTCGGCGCGGAGAGATTAGGCGGTCAGTCAGTTCACCACAGTTTGTTTGTGTTTAATGTCGTTGAAGTTTTGCGTTGTGCCTCTTTGCGGTTTTGGACTAATCTCATTATTTTTAGCTAATTTACAAGAATCAAGCATTGAAAAACACGATTTTGCGACCAGCGCAACTGACCCATTCTGCCAACTGAGGAGACGCCGATTTCGTTTGCGGTGCTTTAAAATCCATGACCCTCCCACCCCGATTTTATCTTATCAACGGAGAGAAACCAACGTTTTTTCTTCAAATTATCACGAACTATTCTGCATACGGAGAAGAATAGTCGGAGAAATTTTCAGAGAATGACATTGAGAATTTATATTGGCAAAAAATAAAATGGGTAAAACATGACACTTTTTTTCTCAGACACGCTGAAAAGCTTGACCTGGAATTTTTTTTCAACTCAAAATATGACACCCCATGTCATATTTCAAGTTAGATTCCAGGTTGACCTGTTCGGTGGGTTCGAGAGAAAAGTGTCAGGTATTACCAATCAATTTCTTCGGAGAAATCGAGAAAATTGACTTTTGAAATCGCCGATGCATGCATTTTTCCTTGTTTTCGAGATATTTTCGATGAAAACTTAACCCCGAGTTAATTCTCATTTGAGGGCTCCAGCAAGAGGACAGCGGGCGGATTGGCCAATCAGAGACGACTCGTAAAGGTAGGAAGTGGCCCGCAATGGGAGCATTTCTGTCAAACGGAACCATGTGCATCATGACGTGAGCCCTGTTACGTATATATTCTTGTGGGTCTCAGGGCTCATGTCTTGATGCACATAGTTCCGTTTAACAGAAATACATCCAATGGACCACTAGACAAGGTGCGAATTTAAGCAATCCGATACATGTTTCTTTACCAGAATTTCACGTGTAACACGATTCGTGCAACTAAAATTACTGAAACCAACTCCTAACGAAGATATTAACGCTTTTATTTCACACTGGTTACGAGGAATTTGAACTGCCCGCTCACAAGAAACTCAAAGCTCTACTTGAGTCAAATTGCACACCACAACGGTTTCAGCAAGCTCCTCGATTGAGCAATGTTCATTTCCTACCATGTGTTGTTCAAACTATAAGTAATTTGCTTTAGCTGAGCCGAAGCGTCAAGATTGAGGCTGCCAGATTTTTAAATCGCAGATACTGTCATGATAACGTTTAGCGTGCGATGTGAATCACGTAGAGCATTGAGTTTTCATGAGCGGGTGGTTTGAATTTACGCATCAAGAATCATTTAATATCTTGGTAAGGAGTTGATTTCGGTAATTTTTGTTCTGCGCATCGTATTTTACGTGAAATTTTGGTTCAGAAACATGTATCAGAATGCTGAAATTCGTACCTTGTCTAGTGGTCCATTGACATTGAGGCGTTCCCTTTGCTATTGATATCCCTAGTTTACTAATGATACGTTACTGATTTTCAGGTCGCTGATCATCGGCGAGTTCTTCCCGACCAACACTCGGACCCACGCGGGACTAACGTCGACGTTCTGTTTCGCGACGGCCGGCTTCGTCGTGACCCTTTCCTTCCTCCACGTCGTCCGACTTATTGGACTCTACTTCATGTTCTTCCTCTTCTTCCTCGTCAACTTCACCAATTTCTGGTTCTCCTTGTTCTTCTTCGTCGAAACCAAAGGAAAGAACCTGTTCGAGATTCAAGAGTACCTGAAAAGTCTGTGATTTCTACGCCCTGAAATCCAATGCACACGCTGAGATAACAAGTTCGGTAGTAAGGACTGAATTGCGGTTCATGTTGAACACCGAAATTTTTTGGCTTCAATAACCAAAGGTTTCGGCCACAGAACTGAATCGTGGTAATTTGAACCGAGGTTCGGTTTCTGTGACCGGAAACTTCGATTGCCAGAACCATTAAAGTTCGGCGTTCGATAAAGCCGAGCTTTTTCCTCCGTGCTACGTTCTTTGAAAAGGAACCAAGCGCATGACCATGCCTGTTAAAGTGCCGTTTAGAAAATACGTCCAGGAGCTTGGTTTCTTTCTGATGGACACTTTTCATGACGATCCTCCAAAATTGACGTGACGCTTTGGAAAGTGAACTCAGCAGAGCGGTACGGAGTATAATGCGTATTTCTTTTTAAGAGGTGCCTTGATGTCTCAGGCCATTTATACCTCAGATAAACATTGACGAAAATGAGATTATTCGAAGACTACGCAACATGAGGAAGTTTGTGAATGAATCGGCGAATTATTAAACGCAATTCCACATAACTTGCGGCATTTAAACCGAGATGTAAAAAAAGAGGTGCGGGATGAGTCCCAACTTGGACACTTCCAATTTTCTTAAGCAGTTGTTGTGTGCGGAAACTCAAATGTTTCCGTACTTCTCCAACATTAGTCGCGTACTACCAAAATTAATTGAAAACGCCCTTATCATCCAACAAATTGGGGAAGCACCACATTTTCAGCGGACAACTCCTAACAATTTTTTTTTATAGAGAACATGTCATTTTCCAAGTCCAATTTACATTTTTCTACCGCACTCGTCAAGTTTTGTTTCACCCAAAGTGAAAGTCTCGACTTAAGTGACTGATGAATGCACCGATTATGGAAACTATGAAAGAAGGGAACGAGCGATCAGGGACGGGAGATCAGAGATGGGAAATTTTCAAGGAAGCGTCCAGCGTGCAGTTATGGAACGTTAAGGAGAGGAGAGAGTGCGTAGGTGACCACTATACTGCTTCTATAATTTACAGGATAAGCAGCCAAAATCAAGTGAATTTTAATCATTTGAAGATAAAGTTTACTCAGCAACATTAATGATTGGAGAATCGTATTTGCCTCAAAAGTTAAATCCAGTAAGACTGTCTGTCACTTTAATAACACATTATTGTTAACTTATTGAGATACATCAAAGTACCCTCTAAACATAGTTTTTCACAAAATTGAGCGGAAATTCTAAAGTTCCAAAAATTTCATCGACATATATGTTTGGTAAATGGAGGAAGTTAGGGATAGAGGAATACGTCTGCTTAGAACTTTTACAGGTAACGAAACGCTCAGGTGCTGACAGCATATCGACGGTGAAACTACCGAACCACGTATCTCGTTTGCGGTGTTTAAAAATCTACGCTCACATTTTATTTTTTTGAGGTAGACCAAATCAATATCATTCCTTGAAATTTTCACGGCATTTTCTCCGCACAAAGAGGAAAAATCACAGAAATTTTCAAGACTGGATGTTAAGTAGTTTTTCATTTAAAAAATAAAGTATGACAGNACTTCACTTTTTTTTTTTCGCTTTTTATAATCAGCCGTTTAATGTGATCAAAGTGGCCCGGCCCAAGTTGACCACAATAAGCGGCGCCCACTGTACTGCTTCTATAATTTACAGGATAAGCAGCCAAATTCAAATGAATTTTAGTCATTTGAAGATAAAGTTTCCTCAGCTACATTAATGATTGGAGAATTGTATTTGCCTCAAAAGTTAAATCCAGTAAGGCTGTCTGTCACTTTAATAACACATTATACTGTTAACTTATTGAGATACATCAAAGTACCTTCTAAACATAGTTTTTCACAGAATTGAGCGGAAATTCTAAAGTTCCAAAAATGTCATCGACATATATGTTTGGTAAATGGAAGAAGTTAGGGATGGAATAATACGCCTGATTAGAACTTTTACAGATAACGAAACGCTCAGGTGCTGTCAGCATATTCATAAGGCAATCAATTTAGTTGTTCCGTCTGTTATTTTTAAGGAGTACTTTATTTCTGTAGAACATTGTATCATTCTGTGTATTTCAGCAAAGACTTACAAATTAGGACAATTATGTTTGCTCAGTGCATCGTAAATGTTGACGATATTGACGTGAAACAGAGATCAATCATTAGTTAGTATTAGGAATTTAGGAATGTCAGATCTTCAACTAATTACTGCTAAAGTTAACGTTTTTCATACTTACAAGGGAAATACCAGGAAGAGAAAGGAAGAAAACATACATTTTTGCTGATGTACAAATGTAAATTACTACCAGATGAAGAAGACGTTAGTGTTTTTATTATTATTTTAACTTATGCTGGTTCTTTAGAGCATTTAATACAATAATAAGAGCCTATATGTACACCATGCAGGCAAATAATTGGAAAAAGAAGGGGTTGTTCATATGGGACGATTGAGTGACGTTTCTCGAGTTGGTGAAATTAGAATTCATAGGAGAGTTCTCAACAGGAGGATCTTATTTACAATTAAAAAAAGATAATAAAGAACAAAAGAAATATGTTGAATTACGTTCTCAAATAAACTCAGACATATAATGTCATCTAAACATATTTGAGGTATGATTTTAAACTTATCTGACTTTAATTAAGAGATTTACCTATAAAAAACCATTCTTCCTCGAGGATGTTCTTTTATGATTATTTTATTTTAATGCAGATTTGCATGTATGTTTGTGTTGTAATTTAAAAATTGTTCCTTTCACTAACTCTGTAAATATCTCATTGTACAAAGAAGTATAAAGTATTATTATTCGTTTCGTAAAATGAGTCTTATTTGAAATCCACTGTCAAGATCCTCTTCACCAAGCTTTGCAGTTGTACTGTGCCACCCCTAATTATTTCACTTGTTTAGTCAAGTTTCGTGGTGAAACGGTAACGCGTACTCAACGCACTATCAACACATTACCGTTCCTTTATTTGGCACTACCTGAATGCTGATCAAATACTAAGGTGGAATAACTAATTTAACTGATAAAGCCAGTGTTGTAACTCAGCAATAAAAGGATTCACATGGTGTGCTAAATGGTAATTAATTTTTACAGTTCTGTTAGAATCTGATAAAAATTGAGTAAGGGCAAAACCAGCACATTTAATTTTAGAATAATTGTTGTGAGCATTTTATGTGCTTTTATCATTCAATTACCCATTACAAACGTGCTTTTAGAACACGATTTACAATTAGAGGATCATATGCGAGAATTTTTAAAGAAAAAAATAAAAAGAAAAGAATAGAGAGAAAAAATCCGAGTCCTGTATGTCTATAATACGAGAACTTACGCCTAAAATCCTTCCAATATTTTCTAAATTAAAAATACGTGATGGATATCCAGGTTTACGGTTAGAAATTGAAAATTGAGAAACGATGAACATTCCATTTGACTTATTTTTGAAAATGAGAATATTTTAGGTCTACTTCACTATTAAGATATATTTGTGAAGAAAATACGGTACATGTCAAGGTTACAATAAAAAACTTGAAGGGAGGGGTATGATCACGACAGACCCCCTGAACGAGATTTGTGACTGTGCATACTTTCGTCCCTCATTTTGCAATCGATATTATACACAAAAAGGGATGAATTGGAGTTATAAAAGATAATCAGAGGGAAGTCTCAACATCATTTTGAAATCAACGCAAGTTCATTGCGACGAAACAATCTCCCCTCCCTCTCGATTGAGATTCTCATGATAATTATGACTTGATGAAATACTTTTCATGGCAAATAAAAGGGGAAGTAAAAAAAAGGGGGAGGAGTAGGAAAAAAATAGATGATCACTTGCGGTAAGTCCGACTTCAACAACTGAATTTGAAAGGTTTCAACTTAAACCCGGTGCAATTCCAAAAATATTATGAAAACTTTTCGTAGCGAGTGAGTGACTATTTAACAACACCCCAATTAAATCTGCGAAATTGAGTATTCCATCTCTGCAAAACTAGATATAAAAGGTAAAATCAAGACTGCGTCTCGCATAATAGTAGAGGTGTTTTTTGTTTATTTTAAAGCGGTGCTTAAGAGACTACAGTCAAAATCATTTGACGGATGAATGATTTAGTAATAGACATTCGTCTGAATTTTTTCTGAAAACAACCTCAAAAATAATAGGGATACATTAAATTTATGGAATTATTAGTCGTAGTTTTAAATTTCAGATAATTTTTGAACCAAAAAATGAAGAGGGCGTTAAGGGGATGGAAATGCACAAAGGTGCTCATTCGCATTTTTGTAGTTATAAAAAAGCAGGATTGGAGTTGGAAAATTACGTGCGCCGAACTTTCTGTCAAAGTCAAAGTTTCGACATAAACTGGGATTTAGGCTCGGACGTTCCTTATCAGCATTTTCATTAAAAGTAATTCCATCTATATGGTAAGTATGATCAGAAATGTTTACGGGAGATAATCACACAAAAATTTCTCAACATAATTCTCATTAGGTGCATTTAATCGTAAATCAAAAATTCACAAAAAGCAGAAACTATTTTCTGAAAAGCATGGGAAATATTACGTTGAATTCAATTGCTTTCACTAGAAAATTTGTGAGGAAGGAATTTCATGATTAGTGATTGATCAATTTTACTTTTCCCGTGCGATACTCAAAATTATTGGTAATTTTTCTCCTCCTTTATTTAAGAGAATCACTGTTGTTGAGAACTGCGATGTTTCCACATTGCATATTCTAATTTATTATGAGATTACCTTTGAACTTTATTACAGCTGGGGGCGTGAAATTCCTTTGCCAATAGAACTGAACGTTTGAGTTTCCTTTTTTCTTAATTATGGTAACGACAGGCACCACATAGAATTCACACCCTCCGAAAAATTCGAGTTTTTAGCGATTACTGGTCTACCAGAATTTTACTCTGGATATTCCCGTATATCCTGCTATTTAGAAAAAAAAAATCGTCATTTTTTGCACGATTGAATTGACACTTTCTCAGTCATGTCAGTTCCCTCTCGGTACATTTTTTATCAAAATCACGGAAGCGGTAAAAATGAGATATATAAGTAAGGAGAGAGGTAAAAATGACCGTCACATGGAAACAAGATACATTTTAGGGAGAACAACGAGAACTGTTCAAGCTGGTAGGGATGTTTTGGATAATAATAGAATAAGGTATTTCAACAATTTACTTACGGATTTAAAAGAGATTATTTGTCAAAACCGAGTCTCCAAATTTTAAATTAAAAGAGCCCATCTTTCAAAACGCATACTGTACCGGGCAGGAGTTTTTGAATTGCCATTCTTTGTTTTCTGATTCTTTTTTTTTTTTTGTAATTCAACTTGTATTAAGCCGTTTTATCATTCAGTATCATCATTAATATAATAATTTCTAATAAATAAATGAATAAATGAAATAAATACTTGTTTGATGAAAAAAATCGGAATAATTAATGAAATGAATCAAATATATGAAAAATTCTTGAAGCACTCAGAGTTGCCTGATGACATCGAATTTTATGATATTTTCCACGGTTACAGATGGGAGACACCCTGTAGGTATGTGCACGAGTGTGTTTGACAAATAAAACTCTGTACTCATCTATCTATCTATTTCACAGCCGATGGTACGTCGCGTCTATATAGCGGCGTCTCCGGCGTGTGTTGTCCTCATATGCAGGATCTCAATTTCTCTTTCCTCTTGACTTCTATTTCTCCTGAAACCATGTCCATCTATTTCTTATTCTCATTTATTTTGGTCTCTGTCCTCCAAACTTCTATAATTTTTCTGTTGTAAGTCTTCTGCATTTGCATTGTCACTTACTTAATAAAGATACTACTACGAATAAGTCGCTCTCATAGCGCTTCTGTGCGCTCTGCGACACCCAACCGCCACTGATAGCGATCCTGCCAGGGCTCCTCCGGCGGATGCATCTCCTTATTTCCTGCCTTATTCCCTCAATCCAGGATTTGGCAGGGCGTCCTCTACGCTTTCTGCCGGGGGGACCTGATCCAGAACCTTCTTAGGCAACCTATCATCTGGCATACTTAATGAAGATACGGACACCAAAATAAAAAAATAATAAAAAAAACAATTAAATTTTTTTTTAAAAAAAATAGTAATAAAACAAATAAAAAAGACAATTAAAAAATATAAACATTTTCAATAAAACAAATATAATAGAAAAAAATGATTTAAAAAAAGAAAAAAAATCTGTCTTCTTGACGCAGCAACATGGAAAACCGATAAGTTTAGCTGTAGGTGGACTCACCGTCATCTTGATAAGCCATGGACCTGGCGAAGCTGGCGGGAATGGTTGAGGCAATGATAACGAGAATAAAGCAACAGAAGTGGGCTAAACTCTTCATGGTGGGAGCTGCTCCGCCTTGCCGGCTGAATTCTCGACGGATCGCACGAGGCAGGAGGACGCCGAGCGCCGCGACGACAGACCTTCCCGTTCCCGGAGGAAAGGCACCGGCTCACTCCCGGATCCCGACGGGGAACGACTCGCGGAAGCGCGGAACTGCGAAGAGCTCGGGAGTCAAGCTGCAAGTCGGCCGAAACTGTTGAGCGGAAACTGGGTCCTGTGCAGACGGAAGCTGAGCGCGGAAGACACCCGAGAGGGTGTCTTCCAGATCAACCGCCAGGCAAACCCCGCCGCGCCACGCTCACGCAAACGCCGTCGCCTTCCACCCCCTCGCAAGCCGCCGCTGCCGGGTCGCCGAAAAACGCACACTCTTTCTTTTTCTAACGACCGAGGCCCACTGCCATGCTCAGGAAGAACGCCGTGTCAACACTGAAAGAAAGGATTGGTAGAATTTACCATTCCTTCACGCTGTATTTCACACAGCATGAAGGAATGGTAAATTCTACCAATCTTCAAGTCAATTCTGCCAGAGGAATGGTTACCTGTACACTGGGGAAAAAAAAACAAAAAAAAAACACATTGGATCTAGAGTCCAGACTCTTAAAAACATCAGATCCTTTCTCTCCTCATAGGTATACTTTCACGCGAGTAAGAGAATATACTACACTTTTCGGTGAGGGGTGAAAGTCTTAATGACAGTTTCGAGAATGCGATTGTCAAAAGTTGTGTCAATCCTAGCTTTATCGGGATGTCATTTTAAACTACTGATCCATGCAGACCTCCGGTTTCCGCGAAACTGCTCCCTCCCCCTTTTCCCCCTAATAATTTACCACTCAATGGGCGTTGTCAAACATATGCGATGCCCTCCGATGATAAATAACATAACAAAATAAGGTTACTAAAAAAAGAGTCACCAGTAGAGTTCGTAAATTGTTTTATTTCTCCCTGGAAAATTTCAAACGATTCCCAGGCATTCCACCATCCATAGCATAAGCGCCGAAACTTCCTGCCGGCATTATTCATTTCCGTTAGGTAACTCCGATTTTTAAAAAAAACATTGCGAGACTTTTGTCAAGGATCTGAGTTAAGTCCTTGAAATGTGGAAATAAGGAAATGTGGTAATCCTGGAAATGTGGAAAAATCTCGTGCATCAGACTTACTGATACTCATACTAACGCAAGGGGAGAAAATTGAACGAAAATTAAGTGATTCAAGTTTAAAAGCAAATATTACGTAATTAAATTTAAAAATTTATCTGCACGGAAAAAAATAGGGCAGTCGACACAACCAACGGCTGGTTAAAAATGCGCCAGCTACCGCACGCTAGTTACGATTACTACCAGGTTAGCTGTGACCTCCACCGCGGTAGTTATCGTAACTAGCGCAGGGTAGCTGGCGCATTTTTAATTTGTGTCGACTACCCTATTTTTTCCGTGTGGAGACAGGAGAGAAGAGAGAGAAATTGAAACCCTTGACTATGGGTTACGGCGTTTTTGTCTGCTCTCGATTTGGCGAATTAAAACTAAGAAGCGGCAACGCTATCTGAAAATTTCATTGCCGGCTCGCCGAAGCAAGCGCCCTCTTCAACGGCGACTAAATTGACATTTAGTGACTTTTCGGCAGCTCGCGGTGTGGCGTTATAGCTTCCGTATGGCTTCTCCGTCGCCCCCGCGCCGTTTGCAACCCTTCCTCGACCACCCGCTTTTCGCGGAGCGGTTCTCAGGGTTTTCCATGAATGGACGCGTTTGTGAATGGAGGATTCAAGGCGCCATTCCTACGCAGCCTCTCTATGACGTAAAACGTGACTTGCGCTAGTCGCAGAATGGGACGTCGATGGACGGATTTCGAGAAGCCAACTGCCTGGCGCCTACAAACCTAACAGGGATACTTCACGCATTGCGCAACGCGTGAAGTATCCCTGTTAGGTTTGTAGGCGCCAATGCGCGTTCCGCGCTGGCTGCCCGCGTGCCGCAGCTTGCCTATGTATTTGGTCCCATTTTTATGCACGGAGGAGAGTTTAACTAGACATAAAGGTGGACTCTCCGTACCGAATCGAGTACGACCGTCATGAAACCGGGACACGAGGAGACATTATGGTTAAATATTTCAAAGATAATTTTGAAGCGTTTAAAAAATGACTACGGTGGAATGAGCCACAGATCTTGGCGCCACGTTCGGATCTCGGCTAAAACCCGGGCCCAGCACCACAGAGTGCCGCGTCACACTCCAGCAAAATCCTCATATTTCCTTGGAAGTTAGCTTCAATGAGCATACCACGAGAATCGATAAATGGCTTGTTAGTGTCCAGAACTCGAACTGAGAAATGTTTGAAAGCCCCGATTCGGCTTCTCAACCATCCATGCCACTTAATAATTACAGTTTTCACACCTGTAGTTAAATACGGGATGGGGGGAATCCTTCAAATGTAAATCTTCATGAAATTCTTCCTAGCTGTTTCCGGCAGGGCCCTACACTGTTCCCTGAAGTTATTCGTACCTCTAACAGCATTATTAGTGCCTATAAACCGAACTAATTTCAAATTTTGATGGAATCAACGGCCCATGACTCGGTTAGACTTGTGATTAGGAAAGGATATTGCTACCTCAAGGTAAACGCATCACCCTTTTAAAATACAGACTTTTTTTTTACTTAAAATATCGTGTTATGAAAGAGGGAACTATTATACACATATCAATCCCATGAAATGTATTTTAATCACATAATATCTCTTACATTTACTTCACCCTCTCTCAGATCCTGAATTAATTCACCACAGAAAGAACAATTATAAGTACAGTATTGTCCCTGGTACAGTACCATTAGTAGATCTTCCTGATTTCCCATCACACTGTCATTGGTATTAACTCCTGCTCCTCTTTCATTTTCCTTGTTGCTAATTCCTGATTTCCAATCACACTATTATTGGTATTAACTCTTACGCCTCTTTCATTTTCCTTGTTGCTGATATCTGAAAGAACCTTCATCTTTACATTCATCCCTGTTTTAGTTCTAATCACATTTGCAATATCTCTACCTTATTGCTTTTATCCGAGAGAACCTTCCTGTTTACACTGATCTGTGTTTTAGTTCTAATTACATTTTCAGTATCACTACCTGCAAGCAAAACATTTCCATTGACATCCCCTGCTGCATCACTCGCATCTATTATGGTACACAGTTTCATTAGTTCTCTTCGTTTAACTTTTTTGTTCTTTGTCGGTTTGGCTTTTGGTTTTCTTTATCTTTACTGTTACATTAATTTTATCCAGCCCTAGTTCGTTTTTTAAAATCCTCCATTCCAGTAATTTTTCCGAATACTGAAATCTGCCACTATCAATTTCTACTCCGCCTTCCAGGATTTTGGCATCAGAATTTGTAACGCAGTGACATACTAAAATTTGACGTTCATACACATGAACAATTATACTGTAGATAAACTTTGCATCACCTGCAGCTCCTCTGATAGAAGTTTGACATAATATTTTCCTGTCTCCTGAGACAATGTAATAACGCTTTTGCAACCGATTGGAGATAGTTGCCAAAGGCAAGTATCCTTTGGGGAGGGATACCTGCTTTGACGGCCTGCAGACGGCGGTTTGACATACTTTGCGATAAATTGATTGGTCCGTCATTTAAACCTATGGAAAAGGATCGATAAATATGTTTATCGTATGTTCGTAACGAACACCTTAATAATCGATTCTTTACCACAGCTTCAAATGGGGAAATATCTATAATAGGTCATTCACACCTCGCCACTGTGCTCCCACTTGATACGGATCAAGGGTGCACATTGGCGGATCCAGCAATTTGGCAACACCGGATTTCCTTTATTAAAACAAATGAAAATGTATCGATTGTTTGAGGGGCCAAAAGTGCTCCCACAAGAATCGATTATGTAGAATAGGTTTAAATAGAGGAATTCGGTATTGCCAAGTTGCTAAATCCGCCTCTAGGGGTGCACAAGCAGAATGATGATATAGTTTCAAGAAAGCATTCCCCGGATAGGCAAGCTTTTAAAAATAACAACCTCATGTCTTTTTGCGACTTGTTCAGTTTACTTTTTCTTTTGATAAATTCCACCTTCGAGCAGTTTTGCAAAAAAACTTGATCAGTGCTACAACTAAAATGACAATCGCTATGCTTGCAACTAAGTATACCACGATGATATCCAATAAAAGAAGTTGGTACCACGGCATCTTGACAGTTAAAGGTTTCAAGTGATGAGCTCCTTTGTGCCTAGTCACATATTCTATCCAATAGATAGCGGTGTCTAAAGATGACATGGGTTTGTCAGATAGAATTTTAGAACCTCTCTTAACATTTTCCTTAAACCTGAAAACAGAATGGGCGCCGCATGAAAAAACCTGGCACAATTTACCTATACATATGAACAGCAAATAAAAGATATCACCAATGATTTGACTATATTTTAGAGAGGAAACTTCGTAAGGAAGAAAAATCCCTCCTTTTCACGGTCATGTCCTGGTCTTCAGCTAAAGACTTAGAGACCTGTTTGACTACGGTAAGAGATCCAACCGAGAGATCTTACACAACATGGAGACAGTTCAAAAATTCCCAAAAACCATAATTCTTTTGATTAACGTAGGTTTACGTGAATCTCGGATGACGAAGAGAACATTTATATCTATATACAGGGTTAATCAAAAATCACGCACCACTGGCCATGAGGGGGGTGGCCATTTGACATTTTCAGATGCCGCCCCCCTCCCCCCGAGGGATACAAAAGCTGGAAAGTATCTCAAAAAGGTTTTCCTTCGATATGAGGAAAAACGTCACAAACCGCAAGTCGATATATTATATAGAACTAAAGTTATGAACAGTGGTGCGTGACTTTTGAATAACCCTGTATCATTAGTTGGACTCCTTCCGCAGACAGATTTTTAGCTCCTTATTTGGTTCTCCAGAAGAGACTACGTTCTCTTACCGAAAATTCCGATTAATTTTCCTCTCTTTCGTTTGAGGAGGAAACTGACCGTCACTAGATCACCGCACGGGTATATAAGTATATAGCTCATTTTACCAAATTTAGCACCATTTATACCACATTTAGGCATATCAAAGCGCTGCATTGAGTGTTGTGAAAACGACTTAACATATGCATCGCCACATTTCATTAAAATTAAGTCTGTGCATTAAATTCTTCAAAAGGAGAACCTGCTGTGAGAAATTCAGCAAATCGACCCCGGATCTGACGACTGTCCTATCATAATATTATTTAATTTTTTTTTTTTTTTGCGGAGAAGTAATCAGTTTTATCAAGCATTTTACCGTGGATCTTCCAAAACAGTCTTCACTGCCCAGCGCAACGTTATGTCCGTGAAGTTGTGATCGTACAGCACGCGCAATCCATATCCGTAATACTCAATACTTGCTGCAGTCATTATTTGGTCATCGAAGAAAGGTATCGCGACCATAGGCACTGCATATTTGACCGCCTCCATTGCACTCGATATACCTCCATGAGTAACGAATAATACGCATTTCGGATGTGCTGGATGATACAAAAATGAAAAGTTTCACAAAATTAGCAGCGAAAAAAATTAAATTTTCCAAGGTCCTTTTTATTCTCACTCAGTAAAATTACCGATTGCTTGCTGTGATTATACATAACACTTGCATCGAAATCATAATGCCATTGTAACTAAACTTCATGACAAACTATCCGTGGTTTGAGCTGATCAATTGATATTCACTGGGATGAACTTGATATAAGCTGATGTCAGTTTAGATCTATTAAAATGGGTCAGTTGCGGTGGTCACAGAATCGTGTTTTGATGCTTGATTTTTGTAGATTAGCTAAGTATAATAAGATCTATTGATTCCGCCAGACCGATACAAATAAGGTATAGCAGAGATCTCCTTCTACACCTAAGCAACACGAAAAAGACCCAAAACAGACGAACGACTCTGCAGTGCTGATTGCATAATTGTCTCTCAACTGTTAATCCCACGTGTCACAGGGAACACAAACGTCTGCGGACCTTCTGGTTCAGCGCAATACGCTCATAGACGAGATAGAATTGTTAAATGACACTAACACAATAAACTTTGGGGATGAAATAGTCAAATTAAAAAAGGTGAACTGTAGTATTAAGGAACAAATTTGAGAAACAAATAAAAGAGATAAAAAAGAGAAGTGGTTTGAATTTGAGTTTAGTTATAGAAACACTTGTGTTTTCAACAATTGTAGATATGTAAACTCAGTTGATGAAGCTACAAATCGAGCTCCACAATTTCTATCTTCAGTAAAAATGATTTAGTGGATAAGAAAATTAATTTAAGTCTTAAATCTGGTGATGCCCCTAGCGTAAATATTACCTTGCGGTGAGCTAACCATCACCTTGCGGCAAGGTATCGGCCTTGCCATCCTCTCCGAGCCCTATCCGAGCCCTCGCCGAGCCAGTTCAAGGAACTCGACGACCGGGAATAAAACCGTATGACAACACTGTAGACCCAAATCCAGACGCAGGGCTTGAAAAAGGCGACATTGCATCGGGAAATACCCCGTGTTTGGGTACGATTTTCGTCTCCAACGTTGCCATGCATAATTATTGCCAGTCGTTAAGTTCCACGAACTGACCCGGCGAGGCCTCGGATAGGGCTCGGTGAGGGTGGATAGGCCGATACCTTGCCGCAATGTGATGGTTAGCTCACCGCAAGGTAATATTTTCACTAGGGATGACCCTGCGGAGAAGTGTTTTACTAAAAAAATACCAGGCGTGAAAATAGTTTCAGACAGTCGTGGGAAAGACCTTGGTTTTCAATTAAAAAATATAAGCAATATGAATGTAACCTCTGGTGTATATTCAGGTTCTATTCTAAGGGATTTACTTCAGGTAACTAGTGATGAAAATTACAAAAATTTGGTACTAATAACTGGATCCAATGATATTTATGAAAACAATTTTCATAACCTCGATGATTTGTTAAGTATAGTAATAAAACGTCTTATTGGCGACGATTTCACCTCGTTGCGATCTACCATATGAATCTCATGTAAACTTAAAAATTAGAAGAATGGACAGTAAAATATGTGAACTAGTAGGTATGTTTAACAATGTCTACATGTTAGACATACATAATTTTGAGAGACAATTTTTCACTAAACATGGACCAATATTTCTGTATCACCGATTGTTAACACACCCGTATCATCGAGCATCCACTGTTCGACGCTACCAACCAACCATCCAACTGCTCCATCATCCAGCCATGCACATGCTCCAGCTTCCACCTACACATCCATTTTGGCAAGAAACTCAAATGTAACCCCTTATAGAGCTCAACTCAAGGAACATTCCTTCAGAGCTAAACGAAATCGAGCCCTTTTGGGAGTGCCTTTGAAAAAACCAAAAAAAAGTGTACGTTTCGCGATAAACAAAATTATTGTTTTAGATCAGAAGAGTCGAGAAAAACTCCTAGAACCTGATGAAATCCAAGAGCATCAACGAGTGTTTCTCGTGAAAGATTTTCTTGTATGGGACAAGGCTGGCTCTGCGGAGAAGGAGCTCCAAATGCTTTAGACGTCGCAACCACAAATTCAGCTGAAAATTTCCATGGCAAACTCAGCGACGAATTTTAGCATCCGCACCTCCACTCTTCACGGTCATTTCCTCCCTGACGGAAAATGACGGAAATGGCTAAAAAAATGGCGGATGTCAGCGACCGCTATTGTTACATATACTTATGTCCTCATATAAACATACATTTCAAGGTAGGTTAAGGTGTCTATTTAAATATTGGAAGAATCAGTGTTTTACTCAAAAAATTTCTTAGTGCAATTAAAAATATGGGAGGTTGAAATCAACAAAGCTTGAATGAATTAATATAGTTGTGATACAGAAAGACATACATTGGCGAGTTAGCAGCACGATTACTTCATTTTGCAGTTAACTGGGAGCGTCCGATTCAGTATCCCGTTATAAAAGAAAAGGAGCAAATACGCAAAAAAAACTTACCGAGGATACTGTTCTGGTCAAACCATGGTCGAATCAGTACGTTCTTAGGAACAGCCCAGTCAGTCGGGTTCATGTCGGAAGTCCAAATTATAGTTTGGTCTAATTCCTGAAAAACGCGCAGCAATAGACGTATGGTCTCTTTACGGAATCGGCTAGTTTTGATGGCTGATCCAAAACTGAAAAAAATTGCTCCATTTTTCGATCCGTCTAAGACTGCTGTCAATTCCTACGGAAAATAATTTAAGGTTTCAAATTAAAATTGATAAATAATCATAACAACAACTTAAAATTGCAAAGTTTAATTTGTTCCGGAATTAGAATTTACTGAGTGATGCATTTCTTCGGCCTCGTGAAGATTAAAAAAAAAATGACCAATACCTACATTTCTTTTCTTCTTTTTCTTCAGCATTAGCAAGAAGGAGTACAATTTGATTGTCACTGTCGTCCTCCATCTCCGATAAAATCAAAAACTAAAGGCACAACAACCAAGAGTAGTTCGAGGCAAAACAATGCGAACCTGTAAGTTGTTTTGAAAAGTGCCACACAGTACTTCTTTACCAGCACCCAATCCACCAAAATCAAGCGATACGGATGATTCTCAAGCAACATACAGGGTTATTCAAAAGTCACGCACCACTGGTCATAACTTCAGTTCTAATTATGCTATCGATATGCGGTTTGGGGAGAACCCTTTTGGGCGAGCTTTTGTTGAAAAGAGAGGTATTTTGGGCGAGAATGAAATCAAGTTGGGCGAAAATGAGGGAGGTTTTTTGGGCGGGTGGCCGAGTCACCGAAATACCGTGAATCTGGCAGCTATGCCTGCCGCAGAAAGATGAGCATGTGATAACGACGAAGGAGACTGATTTCGGGTAAACAGAACGGAATGCTATCAGGATGACTTCCCATGTTTGTCACCGCGATTCACCGCGTCGTAATTAGCCGTAGTAGCGCAGTGACTTCGCTTAAAACTCGCACGTTATGGATATCGAAATTTCATCGGTTTTTAGGACATTTCGCGGCAAACGGTGTGTTATAATTGAATTGTATAAATTAACGGAATCGAATGTTTTACAGTCCGGAAACATTAGGTTCAGGTGCGCTAATAAGAAGTGCGGGGCAAGTGTGCTAGTTGACGAAACTGTAAAAAAAGTGATCCAACCTAGTGCTGTTGAACATAATCATGAGCCATACACGTCGGAAGAAATAACCAAACAAAAATTTAAAGTTAGTGTCAAAAGGAAAGCGGCCGAAAATTTAATCGAAAAACCGAGTAAGATTATAAGACGCGAACTTTTATTAGATGGTGCCTGTGAATTATCAAATTTAGAATTGCCTGGTATTCGGAAAATGATGTATAAGGAAAGAAAAAAATCTCTCCCTGCTCCAATACCAAAATCGAGNATAGCATTGATAAATGACACTAACACAGTCAACTTTGGGATGAAATAGTCGAGTTAAAAAAGGCGAACTTCAGTATTGAGGAACAAATTAGAAAAACAAATAAAAGAGATAGAGGAGAGAAGTATTTAGAATTTGAGTTTAGTTATAGAAACACTTGTGTTTTTAAAAAAAATTAGGTATGTAAACTCAGTTGATGAAGCTAAATCGAGCTCCACAATTTCTATCTCCAGTGAAAATGATTTAGTAGATAAGAAAATTAATTTAAGTCTTAAACCTGGTGATGACCCTACGGAGAAAAGTTGTGATGGAGAAAGTTGTGCGGAGAAGACCTTGGTTTTCAATTAAAAAATATAAGCAATATGAATGTAACTCAGATTTTACTCTAAGGGATTTATTGCAGGTAACTAGTGATGAAAATTACAATAATTTAAGACTAATAACTGGATCCAATGATATTTATCAAAAAAATGCAAACAATTTTCATAACCTCGGTGACATGTTAAGTAGTAGGTAATGGTGAAGATCAAAAAGTCTTATTGGCGACGATTTCACCTCGTTGCGATCTACCGTATGAATCTCATGTAAACTTAGAAATTAGAAGAATGGACAGTAAAATATGTGAACTAGTAGGGATGATTAACAATGTCTCCATGTTAGGCATACATAATTTTGAGAGGCAATTTTTCACTAAACATGGACCAATATTTCTGTATCACCGATTGTTCACGCACCCGTTTCATCGAGCATCCACTGTTGGACGCTACCTACCAACCATCTGTCTGCTCCATGCACATGCTCCAGCATCCACCTGCACAGCCATTTTGGCAAGAAACTCAAATGTAACCCCTTATAGAGCTCAACCCAAGGAACATTCCTTCAGAACTAGACGCAATCAAGCCCTTTTGAGAGTGTTTTTGAAAAAAAAAACGAAAAAGAGTGTACTGTTGCGGCGTCATGACTACGCCGCACTTTTCTTTTGTTATTACTCTTAACCTTTTTCTTGTGTTGTTGGGTCTTTCCCGCTTAAGTAAAAGTTGTATCTCTATATATCCACGTTTTGTTCCTCGTCCCTCTTATATCCACTTTTAGTGTCTGATTTTATCAACCGAAACATGTACCTATCACGATAAACAAAATTAATGTTTAAGATCAGAAGAATCGAGAAAAACTCCTAGAACCTGATGAAATTCAAGAACATAGACGAGTGTTTCTCGTGAAGGATTTTGTTGTGTGGGAAAAGGCTGACTCTGCGGAGAAGGAGCTCCCAATGCTTTAGACGTCGCAACCACAAATTCAGCTGAAAATTTCCATAGCAAACTCAGCGACGAATTTTAGCATCCGCACCTCCACTCTTCACGGTCATTTCCTTCCTGATGGAAAATGACGGAAGTGGCTGAAAAATGGCGGATGTCAGCGACCGCTATTGTTACATATAAGTCATCATATACACATACATTTCAAGTTAGGTTAAGGTGTCTATTTAAAGGTTGGAAGAATCCGTGTTTTACTCAAAAAATTTATTAGTGCAATTAAAAATATGGGAGGTCGAAATCAGCAAAGCTTGAATAAATTAATATAGTTGTGAAACAAAAGCATACATAAACGAGTTAGCAGCACGATTCTTTCATTTTGCAATTAACAGGGAGCGTCCGATTCCGTATCCTGTAATGGAAGAAAAGGTGCTAATACGCGAAAAAACTTACCGAGGATACTGTTCTGGTCAAACCATGGTCGAATCAGTACGTTCTTAGGAACAACCCAGTCAGTCGGGTTCATGTCGGAAGTCCAAATTATAGTTTGGTCTAGTTCCTGAAAAACGCGCAGCAATAAACGTATGGTCTCTTTACGGAAGCGGCTAGTTTTGATGGCTGATCCAAAACTGAAAAAAATTGCTCCATTTTTCGATCCGTCTAAGATTGCTGTCAATTCCTACGGAAAATAATTTAATGTGTCAAATTAAAATTGATAAATAATCTTAACAACCACTTAAAATTGCAAAGTTTAATTTGTTCCGGAATTAGAATTTACTGAGTGATGCATTTTTTTGGCCTCGTGAAGATTAAAAAAAAATTAACCAATACCTAGATTTCTTTTCTTCTTTTTCTTCAGAATTAGCAAAAAGGATTACAATTTGATTGTCATTGTCGTCCTCGATCTCCGACAAAATCGAAAACTAAAGGCACAACAACCAAGGGTAGTTCGAGGTAAAACACTGCGGAACCTGTAAGTTGCTTTGAAAAGTGCCACACAGTGCTTCTTTACCAGCACCCAATCCACCAAAATCAAGCGATACGGATGATTCTCAAGCAACATGTGTAAGCTCGTCAATTACTCCAGTCACGAGTCAAGAGGTTGGCTCTTAGTACGGGTTTATTTTTGACGAAAACCATAAGTTGAGTCGAAGTGAATTTAATGATTTTGTAAAAGATCTTGGTCTCGGCAAAAATAAAGCTGATCTGTGTGGGTCTAGAATGAAGCAGTGGAATTTTTTAGCCCCTGACGTAATTTTCACACAGCAGAGGAGTCGTCATGAGTGCTTTTCCTGCTTCTTTATACTAATGCTGAGACACTATGTTACTGCCATGATGTTCGTGGACTTTTCAATGAAATTGGCATTCAATAAAAATTGACGAATGGAGACTGTTTTCAGATAGCTCTAATTAAAGTCTCCAAGTCGTTGTTTTGAACAATGGGAATAAATGGCCGTCTATTCCTCTTGTCCATTAAGTATATTTGAAAAAAAGTTGTGAGAGTGTGAAGCTCGTGTTCAACCTTTTAAAGTATGGATAGTACGGATGGAAAGTAATTGGAGACTTTAAAATTGTAGCATTTCTTATGGGTCTTCAAGAGGGTTACACTAAATACCCATGTTACTTGTGCCTCTGGGATAACCGTGCTGATAGTGAACACTACAAGAAGAAAAAATGGCCCTTGCATAAGGCTCAATGTAGAAAATAAACTTTAACCTCACTTTTCATAATATTTTCGACATTCACATTATGGCAGCAGAAAATAAACGACTTGTGGAACTTGAAACCATTATTAAATCATTTTTTTCGAAAATGTGGGTTGGTTCCTTTTTGATAAACTCGAACCATGTATTGATCTACCTTAAATTTTCATTTTTACAGGGCGAAAGGTCTTGCTGAAAATATTAAAAAACACCAGAGTAAATCTTTCACCTCGTCAAGGGGTTCTGGTTTTTTAAAATGCATCCCTGATATTTCGACGACGTTCGGTGGGTACAGTTTCGCACCAGAAAGAGCTGCATTATCCGTAATAAGGAAGAGTGATATATCTTCGAGCATTTCCGAGATCCGCGGAAGGGGACCAGGAATATGTTTCGCGAGCAGAGAGTCAAATTTTGGAAAATAAAAATATTCGAAAGAAAAGAGTATTGCAGTTTGAGTCAACGCATTATCCAGCCTTTGAAGGAGACTCATGGGTCCAGGGCCAACACTGATGCCGTCTTTGTACGGCAAATACGCTATGGCATTCGCAGCACCTGCAAATCGCAGAATATTCGAGTTGTACCCAAAAGTGCTGAGTGCCACAACTGGAGCTTTAAACACTTGCCCAAGAACGACAAAAGCTTCCGCCCCAAAAAACGGCTCCGCGATTATGACGTCATAGTTGTCTTTGCTCCGAATCAGATCATGAAAGACGGATGACTCAAGTACTTCGGTGATGAGATGAGTAGCAATGACGTCATATGGGTACGTCAGTCGAAAAATTTTGTGACGCCTCCTCAGTGGATCCTCAATAATATTCTTTTCTGGCCATAACGCAGCTGCAATAAGAAAAAATCACACTTGAACTTTTTTGGAGAGTTCATACAGCTCTCCCCTTGGAGAGTCTACTAGGTGCGAATCACTTAAAAAAATCATCCTTCGGGTCCTAAAATCAACGTTTTATAATTTTTTCATGTAGAAGGGGAAGAGAAAAAATTTTCTGTTTCGAATGCCGTTGAGTTACATAAGCAACATTGCAAAAACGACCTTTAGGTCCTGATAAGTTCTTAAAGATTGGCGAGTACATAGTTCCATTCATTTATATTGAGGAGTACGGAAATCGTGCTGAATAAACCTTCGTCCAAAAGTAATAGATCTCAAAAGCAAAAACGACCTTTAGGTCCTGATGAGTTCTTAAAGATCGGAGAGTACGTACTTCCATCATTTATAGTGGAGAGTAGGGAAATCGTGCTAAACAAACCTCCGTCCGAAAGTAATAGATCTCAGAAATGTGAGCAAGTGATATGGGATCATCTGTGAAAAATATACTTGTCTTTATAAACAAGTAGAGGAAAACTATGATCAGCTATCTAGGTTCCAGAAACTGCCGAGACTCGTAAAAAAAACTCGGCCTGGTAGACTATGCCCCATCCCTCCTTTCTCTGCTGCCACCACAGGGTAAAAGATACGTGTTGCTCTTTTTAAAAGCATTTCTTAAGAGACAGACGGGTGGAATTCACAAGTATGATAAACCTGATAAACGCACTGAAATCATTACGCATCTTAAAAAATAATCTTGAATTTGCCGCCAAGAAATATTTCTTCTTAAATCAAGAATTTTGCTGGTTAATATAAGCTAATTTTTGCTTAAGCCAAGCATTATTTTTCTTGAATCAAGAAAAAGTCAGCTTAAAGCAAGATAAAAAAAAAATCTTGGCAGCAAATTCAAGAATTATCATGCTTCATCCAAGCTACTTTTTTATTCAGTGCAATATAAACCTGTTGTCTTCCAGACCGTCATGTCGAGGCACCGCCACCGAAATGGAGCTACCAAAAGTGGGATAGTTTTACATAGAGTCTTCTGACATACGATTCACTAAAATTTTGAACACTGGAAAAAAACAAGTAGCTAGGATCTAGATATCAGGCTCTTCATAACATTGACAAGAAAAAATACTCCAGATTCAATCAGATGTTTCCTTGAATCGAAGAGCCGAGCCTCTTGATTCAAGTGAATTTCCTTGTGATAGAAGCAAAAATTCAATTGAGTAAAGAGTATTTGTTCTTGTCAATGTTTTTAAGAGTCTGAACTTTAGATCCAAGCGACTTTTTATTCCAGTGGTTCCTTTCGAATATCGTAGTGAGCTTACAGATTTCGTTCGTCCATTTTTCTGCAGACAAATAAATGTGTCGATGGTTGGGCAGCTTTTTCTGAGGACGATAGGAGCTAACCTCGGTAACATTATGACCCCGGATTGCTAAGCCATGAAAAATTGGTTGAACTTGCATGTAGTGGCTCCATGTTGGTGTTGGTAGGAACACCAAAATGTTGTCTCCGAAACAGCTTACTGCAGCGCTGACTAGCTCCAATAAAAGGATACATTTCATGTCTCTATGCGAGGAAAAAGAACGATGGATTTCAGTAATATGTATCGGGTAAAGTGACATGTGTCCACAATAAATCAACACTGAGCTATTCAGACCGGACCATTGAAAAGTTTTTTGGGATTTGAAAATATAAAACCAATGCGTGTGAATTGTAACTGGAGCTATAGCGGTGTGAAATTTGCAGTTTAGAAAGTGGTTTTGAGGAAAATTTATTGACTATAATTTTTGTTAGTTGTGATTGAGGGAAATAAATTTCTTGATTATAATGCAGCTTTACGCCCTCCACTAACCGATTGCACCTTACTTTTGCGGAAATTAGAGAAGGTTTACCGTCTGAACACCAAATGTAAAATTATTCGGCCCTGTTCGACAAAAATCGCTTGACAGAGAATTTAGTATTCGTGGATTAGGGCTCTTTCTCCTATTGACAATCAGGTTTGCTGTGACACAGCTGACTGTGACTTTGACGTCAACAAAAGAAACCAGTTTAAGAAACATTTGAAGAAAAAATTAGCCTGTTAGCCAGTTTTGCGACTTCTGGGACCCTATGAGATAAAAAATTTGCACAACAAATTCCTTCCCGTGACTCACAATGTGATGAAAAGTTTGCCCTAAAACTTCCTTCCCCTGACCCACTGTGCAACCGCACTCCCCCCTGCCCGCCATGAAAGTTCAAAGTTTGCCATTCTGAAAACGTCTAAGCCGATGTTGCTCAAAAACAATACCCAATACCACCCTAGGGGAAACGACCGCCGCGCCGATACAAATTTTAGCACAAAACTCTCAGAAAGTCTCAAGTCTGGGTCCTGACACCATGGGAGGATACAAACATACAACTGTAGAGAATAGAATACCGTTATAAGAATATAATGTTAAAAAAAATGCTGAAAAGAAACGGAATCAATGAGAAGATAAGGCTGGAAAAAAATCGAGGTTAAACGAGTGAACAGATTGGCCCAGATATTCCGGACCACATTTCACCAAAAACTGCTGTTTGTCAAACCGCCGTCAACACCTACCAAGCGGCGAGTAGGCCTTCGGCCATGCTCGGCAATCTTCGTAGCCAATCAGGTTGCCGCTCGCCGCCCGTAATCTCGAAGAAGGTTAGGCTCCCACAACACCCTACACTTTTCGAATTTTGGATTTTGGCATTCGGCCTGATTCTCTTTTCCTCTTTTCCGTAATTAATAACAATAAAAAATTCATTTAATCATTACTTAGCGGCACCTTGTCCAATTTGTGCCTAGCGCCTCTACAACTTTGCAAATTTGGACGTTACCTTTTGAACATTTCATCCCTTCCCTTTGAAATTACTTTGAATAAGTACACTTCACATATCACACGGGACTTTTATCTGCATATTTACTTGGCTTTATTCGCAAAGGATCTTTTAAGAAGTAAATTCTTTCGATAACTTATTGGGGATGGTCAAGTCACCAATTAGAGCCCGTCATTCCATGCCATTATTATTACAGGACTAGGTTTCTTACCTATAATTTGATGGGCACCGTGAGAATAATAGATAACCGTATTTGATCCGGATCATTCATTTTTCAAGGCACGGATCCGTGCCTTAAAAAATGAACTGCTGGTGGCAGAACCATCTTGGTGATGTTCATTAGGAATTTTAGACTTTGTTCTACTTTTTCAGCAGATGAACCTTACATGGTAACTTGTAAAGTTTTGCCTCATTTTCCTTGAGTTCTACTTAGTTTGATGCCAAAAAACAAGAAAATTCATGGAGAAACGTGCCTTAAAGGTGATAGTTCCCCCTCATACTTACTATCAGAGTTCCAACGGAAAAAATCTTGTTGTCATAGGTAAATACGGTTTCCATTGCTTCTTCAGCTGTTAATAGACAACTATGCGGGTTTGCTGGCGAATTTGGTGACTGCTAGGATTGTTAATTAGTATCTCCGAAGCCTGGTTGTTATAGCTAAACTTAAAGCATTGGCTTCAACGCATCGCAAAACCAGAACCTTGGAGAGACCAGTGAACATCCATGAGAAAGTGAGTGAGGAGCAAGGTACCTAGCATTGTACATCCGTCTGGTTTTCACAACTACCGTTCCTAGGGATTTAGGATTCAGATTCGCACATCAACAAGTAAGCTTTTCTCCCAATCATCTTGATATAGAGGCAGCTATGCAAGGCGCAGCCAGGTAGTCCAATGCTCAAGCCACTTAATCAACACAAATATTATCCTAACTTACAACAAAATGACTTGTTTCTTCTCTAACAATGGAACCGGAAAATGTTACTTTGAATGCGCGAGAAACTTCTTTGGTCGAGATGAAGAAACGTAAATGAAGAAATGAGTCCGGAACATCTCGACCAGGTACAGGCCGCTTTGTTTACATTAGGAGTCTGGAGTATCTCGCCGCAATTTCACTTGAAATCACCATGAACAGATCAACGGTGTAACTGATATTTGATTTTACGAAAGGGATAAATGTTAGACGCGGACGAAAGTCCTTTTGTCGAGGTGAAGAAACGCTAACGCTGAGAAATTGAGTCTGGAACATCTCGAGGAAGTCCGCTCTGGGTACGCTTTGTTTATGTCCGGACTATGTCGCCGTTCGTTTGTTTACATTAGGAGCGAGTTTGACACCGATGACAGACTTTGGTTTTTGATGAAAATTTGGTCTGGAATATCTGGGCCAAACGCAAAAACCAGGTTAAACACGAGACGTTCTACTCAGATTATCAAACGCAATAAATACGAATAATTTGGAGGGAGGGGACCGAAGCTAAAATACTCATGGCAATGTTAACTAACTAGCTTTGGGGGATGTTTCGTGTGCGACTTTAATTTCCATTTTCCAGCTTCGTAAACTTTTATCTTTTCAGCGATTTTTAATATGTATTGATACCTTCTCAATCATTCTTATTCAAAAATTGAGGATCTGATCTAATAACACCTACTATTGTGCACAAAGTCCCATGCTACCAAATACAGTGCATCAAACACTTGGACTGCATTTTGCCAAAAGGAAGTAAGAGCATTCTGATGTCACTAAGATTGTGCAACTTCATTACCTTGCAAATGTAAACTGATCGTCTAAACAAGTTTTATCTTTACTCCCGATAAATTCAAGATGAATATTACTTTTTTTTTTAATTTTTAGGGAGAATTCAGTGATTTTATCACAAATGAGGTAGCACAATCTTGGCAACATTGGAATGCTCTATTGGAATTCATATTTGCAAAATGCGATCCACTTAATGATGTTCAAAAATGTAATGCGAATACCTCAATTGCAGAGATCGAGACTAGTTCCAAGTGAACGACCGGTCTTCTTGCGTTGCTGCACAGCCACACACTAAAGCCGTGTAAATTTTTGACAGTCACAGACAAGATAAAAAATGAGGCGTCTTAATACATGTTCGAGAGGAGGCGAATCAAGTTTTCTCCCTCCGTTTCGGCGTTTAGGCTCTGAGGGCCTATGACCTCTTCATTCAAGAGGCAAATGATTACGTAAAAATTCACATAAGACTTAACCTGCGTTTAGATGCGCTTAAGGTGATTCGATGGACGCCATATTTTGTCAGAACGGCATGCGATATATCGCATCAATTGGTTCGATTTTTTCAGCTACTCGTCATTTTTCTCCAATTTTAAGATCGCAATTCTGTTGTCAGGAGACTAAAGCACTCGCTTACTAATTTTAACAAAGAAATTCAACGTAATAAAGGCGTGGTTTTTTTTTAGAGAGGAGATATCGCATTCGAGTGCAGTTTCGATATCAGTATCGAATGAGATGTTTTCTCTCTGAAAAAACCACGCCTTCATTATGTTGATTTTCTTTGTTAAAATTGGCGAGTGCTGTAGTCTCCTGACAAAAGAATTGCGATCTCAAAGTTGGAGAAAAATGACGAGTAGCTGAGAAAACGGAACCAATTGATGCGATACATCGCATGCCGTTCTGACACAAAATAGGGCGTCCATCAAATCACCTTAAACCCAAGAAGCGGTGATCGCAATTAGTTGCGATATTATCGGAAAATGTATCGCGACTTCGTCGGAAAATTTGAGAAAAGGTATACCTCAATATCTTCAATAATAACAAGTTATCGAGGTTAAGAGAAAATCCAAGGACAGGCCGAAAATGAGGGTTTATGCAACAAGTTCTTTTATTCTTGGTTATATTCCTATCCCTTGAATATATGTATCTTTTTGATTTCAGTAATCCATCGGGGTCTGCTTATAAATCGTTTGTTCTCACCTTTCATCCAATGGACCACTAGACAAGGTACGAATTTCAGCATTCTGATACATGTTTCTTAACTAAAATTTCACGTAGAATACGACGCGCACAACGAAAATTACCGAAATTAACTCCTCGCGAAGATATTTAATGATTCTTGATGCGTGAATTCAAACCACCCGCTCATGAAAACTCAATGCTCTACGTGATTTACATCGTGCGCTAAACGTTATCATGACAGTATCTGCGATACAAAAATCTGGCAACTTCAATCTTGAAGCTTTGGCTCAGCTGTAGCAAATTGCTTATGGTTTGAACAACACATGGTGGGAAATGAACATTACTTGATTGAAAAGCATGTTGAAACCGTTGCAGTGCGCGATTTGACTCACGTAGAGCTTTGAGTTTTTTGTAAGCGGGCAGTTCAAATTCCTCGTAACCAATGTGAAATAAAAACGTTAATATCTTTGTTTGGAGTTTGTTTCATTAGTTTTCGTTGCGCGAATCGTGCTCTACGTAAAATTCTGGTTAAGAAACATGTATCAGAATGCTTAAATTCGTACCTTGTCTAGTGGTCCATTCTTAAGTAGAATAAACAGCCTGAATTGCTTGAGTATTATCAAGCCTCATTTGAGAAGTTCTTCCTACATAATGGGCAAGTCCTCAGAGGAGGAGTCCATCCATAAAGGATCCAGATTACCATCGATGAATCTGCCAAATTTAATGCTGCGGAGGCAAAAAGCAACACAAAACAGTTGAAAGCTTCGCTATCTGCAGCAAGAAATAAAGCGGACCCTTCTAACAAAAAAGCTACCTGCTTAGCGTGTCATAAGGAAAGGTTCCTGTACACCGTAGCACCGTGTGGTCACTCCGTATACTGTGAGCAATGAGTGGACCATGGCATTGCACTGAGAAAAAACTATGGTTTATAAACCTAATAGAGGTAAATATGGAACACCTATAATAGTCGTAAATCAACTAATGATTCTCGGTCTGTGAACCATACTAAGGTCTCTGTACCTAATTAAGGTACCCCGTACCATAACTAAGGTATATGTGCTATTATTATATGTAGAGGTACTACTATTAGTGGTGTTCCATATTTACCTCTAACAGGTTTATAAGCCATAGTTTTTTCTCAGTGCGTATACTGTGAGCAATGTGTGGACCATGGCATTGCGCTCTCACTCTCAAGACACGTACATCCCAGGAGATGGAGATCTCCAAACCGACCCTTTATCTTTTGTTCCTGCCAAATGCCCCTCTTGCCGGGCTATACTTGGAGCCGTTACAAAAGTTCATGCTAAGACGTAAGTAAGTTTTTTTTGAAAATTCGCTGCGGCTTAAGCTAATTTTGAGTTTTCGTTGATATCAATTTGATGCTCCACAGACCCGAGCGTGGTGTCAACAAAAAGGTGAATTTTTTGTTCGTTGCCACCCTGATCGTTGATATGAAGATTACGGATATAAATTAGTTTCAATGATTTGATTTTCCTGTGATCATGGTGTCAACGATTGTTAACCTCATGATCACTTTTTTGGTTCGTGGATACCGTGCTATGTAATCTTAGTTTAGGTTTCCAATTTTCTTCAGTTTTGTTTCACGAAATTAGTCGGGATATTTTAGTGTGTCATTCTGAATTATTATTGTTTTCCCCCAAAAAATTTCTCATTGGAAGAAAAGGGAAACAGTGCAGAGTAACATAATAAGTTTAGTTGCGTCTTCAGAACCCTTGCTGGTTTTCTCAGTTCTTGATTTGGAAAGGAAAAAAATGCTTACCGTTGAATTTCAGAATTTTCATACAAGTTCATTTTTGGGAAAGTCATTAATGAATTTGATGACATAGCGAACATCAACTCAAGCGCCTAACGATCTAAAAGCAGTGCCGAAAAATGATAACAATGTATTTAAAAAATAATGGCTTGACACATTGGTGTTCGGATTTACAGGAGAGTAGGTTAGGTGTCACTGATGATCTGAATTATTCGGAAAAATAGGTCTAGCATATTGATCTACGTAAAAAAAGTGCTACATTTTCTGTTTTTCGAGAGAAAAAATATTTATATGCTTACTCATTGATACATAACTCAATCTATAATGAACGGGTGTCAGAACTTCTGGAAAGAGCTGACAATATGCACCACAGGTCAGGTCAATATTGAAATAAATTAGTATGCACACGTGCATTTCATTTGAACCGAATGATGCATTACCTTAAATGCGGCAAAATATTGAACCTTGCGGTGACGCCAACGGTAATTTTCCTTCACTTTGAAAACATTTTAAAAATAAGGTCATACTCTGTGACACTTGTGACAGTCGGTAGAGTATTAAGCTTACAAGCACAACAGAGTGGTTTTTAAATGTTTCCAAAGCGCCAAATACCCTAAAATAACAGTAATGAAGAGTTTCAGTGAGTTGACGGTTTCCTTGGTGAGTCCTTCTTTTTAACGTAATTAATGGTTATCCACTATCCAGGTTTTTAATCTATTTGGTATTGGTAGAAATAGTTTATTTTAAGCTGTGTTAAAGAATGGATAAGAGTACATACTTCAATTGCTGATTTCAAAAGTGAGTGCATTTAATGGAGCGTATCGGAATTCTCGATTATGTGTTCAATCTTTTAAAAATGAAGCTGACCGAGATGAACCCCTTTTTCTTTGCGAATGTATTCAGCAGAGTGAAGAAAATTTCCACAATTTCATGAGCAATTGAATTTCGGTTTTTCTCTGAAATAGCAAAAAAGTAAAGATATTTGGATCATTACAACCCGACGTGCGCGCACGCAAGCGCATAAACATTTGTTCCTTTGGGTTGGGTACGATGATCATGGAGCAACATTTTTTTCTAAGTCAATATACGACACTCCCACTGCAAAATCTTTTTTTCTCTTTATGTGACGAAGGCTGGATCTCTTAGGGCAAATGCTAAACGAGGTAAAAAAGGCTTAAAAAAGGACGGTGAATTTCCTCTGAAGAAAAAAATAATTTGATGATCTGGAATAATGCTGATTACGTAAAGATTAAAACATAAACCTTACCGGTTACGTGTTTATAGAATTCAATTAAAAAGCACTTCGCAGAAAAAGATTATGAGAGGCAAAATTTCCGACGCTCTGATTTTTAATTCCTTTTTTTTATTTTTTGGCATAAGATCTTTGACTCTGGAAAAATGCAATTTTCTTCTCGAGCTGTTACTGCCTTACATTTTAATGATATTAATTCAAAAAGGAAATTATACACAGCAAAATTTGTTTGAAAAATATTCAACAAAATTAAAAAAAGAATAATTACTCCCTGAAATTATGTACAAACTTCATAGGCAGTGGTTTCATTCTGTATATTAATTATTGAATTAAAATTACTTCCAGGTTTCAATACAACGGGAAAGTAATTATTCGTTTATTTATTTACTTTTCACAGACATGGTGTGTGGTGTTGATATCTGTTGCCAGTGCATTTTTCAACACAGAATCGGTGAGGGAATATTTCTCCTCTAATTGTCTAATCAATACAAATTAATTACCGATTTCGTGGTGAATTCGAAAGTTCTGAGTTGATTAGTAGGACTTTATTCAGAGCCTCTAGATTGGGAATTCCAAATTTGAACTAAGATGTTAGTTCTCACGGCAAAGGGCTATTGAAGGCAAATTTTTTCACACAGGAAATTTGAAGAAAATCACTATTGTCCGCAAAAATATTACATGCAGAAACATCGATGTAGCAGTGGACAAACGGTTCATCATTTACACCAACGCCTCATGTTTCCTTCAAACGCGAGGACCTGCTCGATCTTCACAGGACTCGGTCGGCATGCATGTGGTATCGTTTGAATTTGAAGGCGTTTCGAGTGTTCGAAGTTTATCATTCAACTGCTGTATGTGCACTGAGTACTATATGTACTTGCAGTAAAGTTGACTATGAGCTGGAAGACACAGCAAGCAATGATCTGATACATTTTAGGTGTAAAAACTTCACGGAATGACAACATCGATGAAGTGGCATTTTGTGAAATTGAAATTATGTGTAAGAGTCCAAAAGTCAGTTAGTTGAGCTATATCTTAATACGGCAAGAGGGCGAAATGAACGAATCGCTAAGACTTGATTAATTTTCTGCCATATAATAGAAAAAAATACTGTGTAGAAGATTTGATCATTAGCAGAATTGAGGACATTGCACCAAGAACAACCTATAACTGGAAACCGCGTTTTGAGAAAAACGCATTTAAAGTTTTGTTTTTGATGTACTGCGCAGACTTTTCTATGCAGGTACCCTGTTTTGGTGTTTTTGGGTGACCTAACCCTTCTACTGAAGGATGCCGGGTAGATTTTGCGATACATTTTGGGTTTACACTCTAATATAGTTAATTTAAAAAAGCGGTTTATAGGTCGTTATTACGTCCAACAGTCATTTTGGTGGCAATATGCAGTATAAATCATTTTAATCACGCATGATTAACGCAAAATAAAAGAATATCGATGGTGAGTATAGAGAGGGGTAACTAGCACATTATAGGCCCTTCAATTTATAGGCCCGTATTACGCCCAACAGTCATTTTGGTGGCAAAATGCGAAGTATACATTTTTGGAGGAAAGGATAGTTTGAGAGGAGAATAAATTATTTCAATAGCTCGTTTTTCTGAAATAAAAACATATCTTTATAAAATGAGATCAAAAAATCGAGCCATCACTATCGCCGCGCCGCGCCGATGCCCGCTAACCGAGAATGATAAGGCCGCGCGTATAGGTAGTTCTTGCACCCATCGATCCAGAGGCCTGACTTGCCTCGGAAAAAAAAGGTTTTTCGACCTCGAGACGTTACCTATCTATATTCTATCGCTACCACAGCATAGTCCAGGGTACGTAGAATCCGAAAAGCAGATTGGCGTAATAACGACCTATACGCCTATAGGTTGTTCTTGGTGCGGTGTCCTCAATTGCATAGTGACAAATACATTTAACTGGGAGTGAAAAAGTTTCCCTGACCAAGTCATAATACTAGAAAATACCGGTTTCTTCGTGATACATATGGTGGATCCGAGGCTTATCGGTTCAGATTTCCTTCTGATCTAAATTAGATCATGATATACCATTTCCGGCACGAGTAACACAATTGTTAGCACAGAATTAAATTACTTCCGTAATCAATCATGCTCCTTTCTTTAATTTCGGTAATGATATATTTCTCATCCAATCATAGGTTAAAATAAAGCAGTTTCACAAATTCATGGTTACCTACCTTGAGCCTTATAAGAACACCGTCGAACAAGTCAGAAGTTTCGATACTCTCAAAAGGAACCTTGAAGTTATAGAAAAGTCAAACGACGATAAGCGAAGTGAGTACTTATGAATAACAATGTATGTATAATCATTTATTATACTACACTAAATACTAGACTATACTTTTACATATTAACACTAAGTACTTGAGCTTATCATTCATCCTTGTAAAATCTCTTGTTATCTATCGAATAAATAATTTCTCTTGACAAAAAAAAGAAAAAAGATAAGCAAAGTGAGGCTAGATACGGCGCGGCGTGACCACGTCTTCTGATTTAACACGTACATACGTATACAAATTCATGCGGAAACAAAATTGACGAATACAAAGAGGTAAATACGAGGGCAAGTTTAAAAAAAAAAAGTTTAGCTTTCCTCTCCGAATAATCATCAACGCTGGATAAGGCAACTTAGACTTCGGAAAAGGCAATACCTCAGATTCCTGATTATTTTAAAATTTAGTCCAAGCGTAGCGCCGTGAAGAGGTTCTAGGGGTGAAAAAGGGGGAATCTTGCGAGATAGCGGGGCTGGGGCTGGAATATGACTATGGAAAGTAATCCATTTCGTCCAAAGCGCAACAATTTTACTTCTCGAACGATACGAAACGTCTTCCAGGTGTCTTAGAAATCAACTTTTAAAGCACCACGTGAATAAAATGACTTCTTCGTAAGTATAAAGTGATCTTTTTTCTTGAAATGTTAGCAACAAATGCAGCCGCTTTCATTAATGTTTGACGCATAGCAGCCTCTGCCTCAATGAGGGCCAAATCACACATACCCTCTATTTTAGGGGCTTATATGAAAATAAGTATAGTTATATGCAGATAGTGTAATTAATCGTCCACTCAAGAATTCTACACGCCTGTTGTCTAAATTATGAAATAGCCCTCTTTTGGCCCATTTCTTGTAGCAGGGCGGGAGAACTAGCTCTATTTCACAAATTAGATAACAGCCGTGCATAATTCATGATTTTGGCATTAAAACCGCCCGGTTTGTATTTAACAGTTACGCAATGCGTGACATATTCAATACAATCTTCAATTACACCTATTTAAATTCAATTACAGTCAGAGATACACTTTTGAGCTAAGTTACAGGAACATAACTAGATTCAGTTTTGTGATTGCTTGCAAATTTCAGCCGAGGAGTCCCATCGGCAGGTGCTCCGGTCGATTAATGACAGCAAGGAGTTCGAGGCATTTGAGATGAGAGGAGGAGGCCCCGTAAAACCGGGTCAAGCCCGAGAGGTCCCTGTGTTACTCAATCGCCGCTTGCCTACACCCTCTGACTCTGAAACAAGCAACAGTCGCCAGTTCAGTTGGGTCTACAGGAATCCGTATTACCCCGAAGCGGGAAATCAGGTTCGTATCAAATCCCAACGGCCAGTGCGCAGTAAAAAGAATTCAACCATAATTTCTAGGCCTTGTCTCCACGGGACGTTTTCATGGGATTTTCCACAAGTTCGAATCGCAGGAATGAAACTTCTGGGATTTTTCCCGGTTACCGTCTCCAGGGGACGGGGCTCTTTGTAGTCCTGCGACTAATTTGCGCGGGAAGATAAATTAAGTAAAGTCGAGTATTTGACCGGGATTAAAATAATAATTGCACTCAATTGACAATTAGACACATTTGTTAACTAAACAAACATGAACAATGTAGTAATGAATAAAATATCGCACAATTCGTTTTCACTTCTTCTTCTCTCAGTGGGTCCTAGGGGTACAAGTGTCATTACTGGAAAGGAAAGTACTGCCATACTGGAAGTGCCATGCTGGTGGTACTGGGAAAAATATTGATTAACTCAATATTTTTCCCAACTTCGTAAGTGGGATTTTTCCCTGGGACAAATCTCGCGAAACGGCTCGTGGAGACAAGACCCTGGAGAAGCATTCTATGCACATTTGACACCCCTCGACTGCATACGTCATCAATGATGAGAACATGATTCTTTCAAAGGAGAAATGGACCGAGTTTTACAGAAAGGAACCAAGCCACATCAGCTATTGCCAAATTTAACGAGGCAATTTAATTTTTTACAAAAGAAGGTTTGTGCGGATTCCTTTGAAAATTTCAGGGAATTTGCTTTGTACTGGGCAGAAAATTCACTGAAATTTGCACGAAAATCCGCACAACTGTTTTCATGGAAAAAATTAAATCGTCTGGTTAAATTTGGCAATAGCTGATAAGGCTTGGTTCCTTTCTGCTTAACGCGGTCCAAATGTCCAACCATGCACTGAAAAAAAATGTGCTCGGCTAAAACATGATGATTCTTGGGTATGCCGCCAAGAATTTTTTTTATCTTGATTTAAGCTGAATTTTTCTTGATACAAGAAAATAAGGCTCGGGTTGAGCAAAAAAGTTGATTATATGTATTAAGCTGCAAAATTATTGATTTAAGATTCATTTTTTTAGTGATACACAGATCATAAAAATTTAAGCTGAATTTTTATTGATACAAGGAAAATAAGGCTTGGGTTAAGCAAAAGAGTTGTTGATATTAAGCAGCAAAATTCTTGATTTAAGATTCTTTCTTTTCAGTGATACACAGATCATATTTTGGCTCAAAATTTTAGCAAAAGTAAAATTTTAGTGAATTAAGGAATAAAATAGGAAATAAATTTTAACAAGAAAACAAACGCATGAAAGAGGCATAACAGAATCGTCTCTGATTAAATTTTCCCCTTGATTAAACATTCATAGTTTTACTTCCTCTTCTAAGGAACTCAAAGGGACTAGATGGGAACTCTCATCCGTGATTTAGTATCTGAAACATTTTCCTCGGTGTTGACTAATTACACTCGAAGGATTTTCAATTCAAGTACTGGGGTATGTAGAAGTGAGCTCAAGTAGTTCACAAAGCATGATCCTGAGCAGTTTCTTATCAAAAACTGTTTTTCGACTTCATGATCTGCGAAGCCCTGTAATGCGTTATGCAGAACTAAAATTTAAGATCTGACAACCAAAGAAGGGTAGGTTTTGATGAACTTTCTGCCCTTTAGTAGACAATTGATGCAGATTCAAATAGTCAATTTCTCGCAAGAAGCAGCAAACTTTAATTTTTTTTTCTGCTTAACTTAACTCTGGAAGCACATTGGCCTGAATCGCCGTTTTTTTGTTTAGCTTGGGTGCGGGGTTTGCGGTGCGTTTGCTGTAGTGGGGGCCATGGAGATTATGTACTCTCACGCGGAAAAAGAAGCAATCCATCTTTCCAAACAACGTGAGTTTCACATCAAAGCCTCTGATTGACACGACGTTTAATTCTAAGGGCTCATTGAAGACAAAGAAAGGACGCTGACTCAGGTTTTAGACAAAAACCGTAGATGACGTTTAGTCCGGTAAAGCACCTGATGGACCCGGAACAAATTGCAACGAAAAGTTTTCATACATCAATGAACGCAGAAAAATCAGCTGAATCCGAATTTGTCCAGCTCACCGCGCTAAGTCGTGTTCTGTAACACCAAAATTGAAAATTTTTAAACTTCCTGTAAACACTTTAAAATTTCACTATAATGACATATGGTTGCATCTATGAATGCAGAATAAGCCGAAGAATCCAAATTTTAAGTGACTCACCACGCGTAGCTTAAAGTTTCACCCCTGAAACCCCCAAAACAGCCCCGAAATTAAGAATGCTGTAAAAATTTTGTGTAAATATTGGTCTAGTGCTTCATTGGCTTAATTTATCGCAGCGAGCGATCAAAAATATAAAACTAGATGAAATTTTACTTAAAATAGACGCATCACATGCGAATCTCATTGCGGGACGTCCACGGAATTTGACGCGAAACATGCAAACTATAGCCGGCATTCGTTACGCGGCCCGCAACCTCTTCAGCTGATAGTGAGTGGCGTGGGACCTTTTCAAGGCCGCTCTTGTGAGTCGAGAGGCTGCGGCCTCTCAATTACGCATTTTTGCAAAGGGCCGAAATACGTGACTGTGCATCAATATTCGTCAATTTTCACACTCATGCTGGTTTTCGTGTTGGCACATTATGCAGTTAACACTCAATATTCACACTGTAAATTGTAGGTTTTTAGCCGAGATGTGGGATCTGGGTCATGAAGAGGGGATGAAAGTGAGAGTTTTGAGCTATTTTCATTTTCTGTCTAAGGGTCAACCATACAGGGGAAATATGCGATAAGAAAATTCTTGTTGTTTGGGAAACGACGATGAGAAAAACTATCGATTTAGTTTGCTTCCGACCGATTTACCGTGTTCACCCTCGCCCTCGGTTGAGTTGAATTTTCGCGACGAATAACGGCGGGAAGTAGATACCCTTCCATCGGTCGCGCCGGAAAATAAGTCATGTTTATGTTTTATGTTCGTTACTGTAATTGTATCTGGATATATGTAGCTCACAGTGTGCGTTTGCTAAATTGATCTCAATGTGTTATGAGCTGAAAGGAGCGCTCAAGTGATTAGTGCAATGATGAACGAGTGTTACGAGTGATATCATGGCTGGCTCAAAGGGAAAATGTGTTTTTTGTGAAATGCCTTTGACGTCGGGGAAGACCGGAAGACTCAAAAACTGGGTGAAGTGGGTAATGGAAAAATTTCGACTGTATGCGAACGTCTGAACGTTGAGAAGAAAGTGTCGTTAGGTCATATCGTCCATGACGCGTGCGGACGAAATTTGATGATGAGCAAATTAATTGTTTCTCGCTAAGAAAAACAAATCTGCAGCATAATCACCCAAGAAAACCAGATGAACGGCGACAATTTCTATACGTAGAGAAAATTGCTTTTTGTGTGGCAGAGAGACATCCCTACATGATATAGACATAAGTGTTGTAGAGTGTTAACATTAGAAACAAACTTTGATTCGAAAATTAGAGCAATATGTAAAGAAAGAAATGATAGATGGGCAACTGAAATAGTAGGTCGACTTTCCACGATTAGTGATCTGTTTACAGCAGATGCGGTATACCACCAAGTCTGTAACAACAATTTCCGTACTGGAAAAGCAATGCCTGCTCCACACGTGGAAACTTTCATGTTTGTTGTGTCCATGGATAAATCGCAGAATCGCCAGCCTGAACTTTCGACTTCCGAATTTTCCGGTAAGTCTCCAATATGTCAAGATGAAGCTCTTGATAAGGCCGTCCGGTGGATTTGATTAAACTTGATGCATTTTTCAAAGTTTTGAAACACTGGGAAGAACTTTGTGATGAGAAAAATTGTCGTACAGTTACCAAACTACAGGAAGAGATGAGGAGAATCTTATCGTCCAAAAATTTAGAGCCATACTCCATTAAATATCTTAAACATAAGCTTCTGGAACATTTTAAAGACGAAATCATTATTGCAGAATCTAAAGGTAAAAAAAAAAACCCTGATATTTCTACGTCAAAAAACAGAATCCATACTGCAACAATGTTAAACCAAGAATAAGGAAGAGGAAGGTGAAGATGACGCAATGAGACTGATTAAAACGGCCGGAAAATTGATAGGGTCAGCATGTAAACAAATCGAGCACTCAACTGGTTTTAATCCCCCAGTATCAGACATACAAAATGTAGAGTCATGTTTTAGTGTGATACCTGAATATTTGCGAGTGCTTTTAGATGCATTTGTGCCCGAAAAGTAAAATGAGCTTAAAGAAGTTTCTATTAGCTAGCCATCATCTAAATGCATGCGTTTTTCTTTCACTACATGCCCGGTAACCAACGATTTCTCAACCTCGCTATTTGGATGGAGCGACAACCGCAGTACACTTCATCACAATCTTCGGAAGCTGATTCATGTGTGCCAGAGTTCACGTTATTAGCGGACTTATCTTTCAGTTGGTTATATAATGCAGCAAGAGATTTGCTCGTGTTTTGCAAATGCCATTCATAAGTACTGCCGTTATATTCCCAAATAACGATTAACCCTAACTTCAGTCAAGGTAAGCACAGCGTGGTAACCGCAATTATGGAGGGCATCAAAATCGCGAGCCCTTCTGGTAATATTTACACGGAAAAGGACCTTATTCAAAATCGGCCATTTCCAACCTCGGCTAAATCTTCGTAATATTTTCAGGGTTGATAGAGGACTACTTTCCAAGTCCAAAACACTGACGATTCTTGAATTTTGATAATTAGGGCGGGAGGGGGAGGGGGTTAATGTTAAAACTTTAAACGGGCATATCTCGTGAACGGTTTGTCGTAGAGAGATGGTCTTGGTCTCAAAATTTAGAAAAAATTATCAGATTTTAGCTGGTATTCACGAAATTGGTCCATTTTGAAATTTTCATCCAATGTTGCCATGTTGCCGTAGTTCAAAATTTCAATTTTTTACATTTTGAGCCGCAGCGTTGAAAAGAACGCACGAAAAATTACAAAACTATTTATTTATGAAAGAAAATCGTCTAAGCTCAAGATCATCCCGACGAAACGATTTGGACCGGAGTTATGATTTTTCAAAGTTGACTTGTCGCGCGCGAACCTTGTATTTTCGGCGCCCCGAGATTACCGGCACCCCTCTGCAATGACAATTTTCTGCGACTTTTCGCATATTTACGCACTGCTGTATCCTTCACAATAAAAAATAACCCACAAATAAAAACACTTATGTCACGGAAAATCTTTCATGGCATTACATCAGTGAGAAAACCTCTGTATTTTTCCGCCAGCGACGAACAAATAACTATGTCTCTATCTTTTTAACTCGGATGCTAGAAAAACTTAATGGGCCCAATATCATTCAGTCAAGTGTCGGAAAGGAACACTTACTCCGGAGAAATGTTTAATTTGAGCCGATTATTGCCGATAATATTCAACATCTTCCCGCATGGACTGCGGAAGATTTTCTACGTTGCTTGGTTTTTTTTTTTCTTCTTTTTTTTTTTCTTTTTTTCAAGAAGACCACCAGATTACAACAACACGACATGAGCTTGGTTTCTTCTCTGCTCACTTCAATAAGATTGGTTTTAGGTCGATTTTAAAAATCGATGCACGAATCACGTTATACGATCAGTACTAGGATTGGCAATGCATCTGTAAATGCTCACGTTTCCTTCGTTCATCACTCAGCAATATTTTGAGCCTCAATGTTGACTTCTTCCCCTCCAAAATATCGACGAGAAAATTGCACCCGCACATTGAGAAAAAAATTAGACTGAAACTTCTAGTCGAGAGTATTTTTAAAACCAATACTTACTATTGCGAATCATTAAAAACACACTTTTTCCCATATAATTTCTTTGAGAAAATAAACTCTCAATATTTCAGAGCTCGTAGACTGTGACGACCGTGTTAACTGCGACGACGAGGGAGTAAAGTTACGCCCGGTGTTTCAATACCTCAAGAGAAATTACCTTGCAACGGAGGACAAGTATCCTTACAGGGGCACCCAAGGAGATCAGGACTGCAACCAAAGGGCTGTCAAAGCTGGAGTTGCAAGAATTCTGGGGTACAGAAGAGTCAGAGGTGAGGAAGAGATAAGAGAAGCTCTCAGAGATGGTCCACTGCCCGCTAGTGTAATCGGAAGTTATTTGGAGGTAAAATCAAAGTTTTTAATCACAGTACAATGATTAAGGACAGAAGAACACAGAAACTTGTCCGTAACCAAACCACTTTCAAACTATTTGATTAGTGCCCCTAATTTCCCACCATTGGTAACAATTATTAACCAGGGGCAAAGAACTTTACAAATAAATATCCCTCGCGCCAGAGCCAAAGTCTAAGGAATTTTGCGCTATGAAATCTTTTTTTTTAATCTGAAGGAAATGCCTGGTAAGAAATGGCCAATAAAAATTATGTCCTTTAAAATGTCCAATGACGATCAAGGATTGACCACGGCCCGATAATCATGCGCGTGATCAATCCTCGATCCCTATTGGACGATTGCATCGCGGTCGCTTCCGAACAGAATATGAACAAGAGCCAGTGGCGTGGCGTGCTTTGCGATGTATCGATTGTTATGCCATTTAAACCTATGGAAAAAGGATCGATAGATAGGGTGTTCGCAGCGAACGCCTTAATAATCGATTATCTACCATAGGTTTAAATGGCATAGCAATCGATATATCGCAATTCACGCCACGCTACTGACAAGAGCCAACTCGGCTGACGGTGCGATCTTTCTTCCCGCGTTTGTGATATTTGGGACCCAAGGTGGCGTAGCGCTAATCATACAGGGACTCTGGTAAAGCCTACCCATCTTACTTTTTAAAGTCATTTAAGCTTTTTTACTAATCTAAGCTCTTTTTTTTTGAAGTATTGGAGCCAGTGTTTCCACTAGCCACCAGTTCTTTTACATTAACTTATCAATTAAAATTAGAGACAAAATAATATGAATGAGGGAAAGAACATGTCATTACCAACCAACCGTATACAGGGTGTGAGGATGTTAACACACTTAACTTTCATCATCGATTTTTCGACTCAAAACATGACTTTTTTGCCCTATACATATATGCACAAAAACGCTTCATACGTGAGCTATGCGCTTCCAAAGATGCCATTTTTTTTCCTTTCAAATTGATGCAACTCCTCGTCATTTAGGCGTCCCATATTAAGTCATATTTTGAGCCGGAAAATCGATCCTGAAAGTTAAGTACGATAGCTTCCGGACACCCCTGGTAAAAATTGGCCGTAGAATCATGTGTTCCAAAATACCATAGACTTACGGCCGGCTGTAAGATTTCCAATAGCTTCTATAGCCGGCTAAACAATTTCTTATAGCCTTTAGTAGCCGATGGCGATTAAGCAACTCACAGCCAGGCGATAAAGTGTATGCTGTATGCTGAACGTCACTAATTACGGATGCTAGGACTTCGTGAGTTTTTGGACCACTGCTCTCTTTTTGGGCCGGCAGTATCTTGGATTTATTTTGCGAGGAAAGCTCCGTACTTTAGATGGATGCCTGTCATTCCTAATATATTAGAGCGCCTTCAGTTTCGTATGATGCCGTGCAATACCTCTGGTGTGAAATAGTTGCTTCAAGCGCCGTGGCACGCTGCGGCGCGGCGGCAGAGAGCGCGTAACGCGCATTAGCGCCTACAAACCTAACACGGATACTTCACGCATTGCGCAATGCGTGAAGTATCCCTGTTAGGTTTGTAGGCGCCAGTGCGTCGCCGCTACGCTTTGTATTAGGCTCTAATATTTAATCTGGCAGAGTCAGCGTTATTCAACTCATGATTTTGAAATGTTTGCACATCCTGTATGGATTATTCTCGTTTTAATTGATGAAAAAAAATATATATTAAAGGAGAATATAACGTGTGTTTTATAAATATTAAGGTGGTTCCGTACCAAACTTAATGATTTCCAAAGCACACGAATTTCTACACAATTTTTTTAGCCTTTTATAATCGATGGCGAAAAAGCAACAGCCAGGCGATAAAGTGTAAAGCCCGGCTATAGGAACTATAGCCCGGCTGCATAATTCTTTATCGCTTCGTATAGCCCGGCCGTATGATTTTCTCCGCATTCTACAGCCAGCAATATGATTTTCTGTAGCCTTCTTTAGCCGGCTATAAGAATTCCTATGGTATTTTGAAACGCAGCTCTTATCGCCAATTTTTACCACGGACCCTGTATCTATAAACCCAAGTAAGAGACGCACGTAGTAAATATGCATCGGAAAAATTGTACTCGAGTGAGCTTTTTCCCTCTATGTTAAATGAACGTATTATTAGTGATTTGTTATGGAATGTTTTGTTCGTGAAACAGGGCTATGAAGATGGTATCATTACGAACTGTCCAAATACGGCGACGGATCATCACGTTACCATCGTTGGATACGGAGTCGGTGAGGCCGTTATCTATTTCCACAACCAAAACTATTGGTTATTCTAGATAGGAGATAAGAACTTCGTCCCACGAGAAAACTTGATCGGCGAAAAAACATGAAGATTAATTGAAAAATGTAGTGAAATAAGAACTTAGGATGAACCCCGACTTTAACTATACTATACAGACTAACACCTTTATTTTTTTGTAAACACAATACTACTGGGGACTGATAAAATATTCCAATGATTTGTTCTCCGGTCTCGAAGAAGAGTTTCTTGACCTTGCGGTTACTCTCCTCTTGAACACATGTTAACTTTTTAAATGAAGGACAATTTTGCTATGGCAGAATTAATAGTGCACTAAGTAGGATCAAGAATGAGGCATCAAATTGCAAGTTACTTCGAGGAAATTTCACAGGGCCACGTAGGTATTTCGAGAGAATAATCAAACTCCATTCATAAGTGAGAAAGTTGCGTTTTTCGTGCCTGGCTAAAATACCAAAGTCATATTTAAATCTGATACAAATATTGGTGTTTCAAACTGAAATCATTTGTCAGTGCACTACATCTGTTTAGCTAGATTGATACATACCTGCAGTATCCTAAAAAAGGGGATTTGTTTGCGCGCCATATTTCTACACAAACATGTCAGTAAATAAAAGTTGGATTTCTAAAATACATTAGACTGAAATTCCGTATTTATGGCGAACGAGAAGTTAGATTTCACTGATTCTAATGTAAAAAAGAAATGATTACCTCTAAATGGTTGTATGAAAATGTTTAACACATACAAGTGTGACTCGTAAAATTTCCATCAGAAAATCATCTTCTAGTAATATGATTCTTAATTTGTCTCACAATTTCTTAAAATCTTTGAATCCATGGACATGTATTACTTTTGTTTCAATTAAAAATCCACCAGGTGTCGAAAAAAATTACAATGGGGGATTATCGATTGAGTTTTTTTCTCTTTTTTTTCTGTTATTTAATGGATATGTGTCAAGCACCTGCAGCCAACTTTAGACGATTGAGTTCCTACTTCGAGAAAAGAAGAAACAGGCATGTTTTATGATATAGTTTTCAAACAAACTCAAGCCCGACATTTTAAGGATTTTGAAATTATTTGTAGTTAAATGACAAATTGACCTACATGGATAAATGGGTTATTATCTTATTACTTTTTTTATTTTCCAGGCTACGTAGATGGTGAGGAAACTCCTTTTTACATGATAAGGAATAGCTGGGGAACTGGTTATGGCTTAGGGGTAAGTGAAAAAAAAAAACCGTTGGGCCATTCCATGCCAAATCATCCAGGGATTGTTACACGACCAACCCCGATTTTCTTTATACTGAAGCGCAAAGTTCCCGGTTCAGAACCAATGGGCATGGAAGTTTTGTTTTTGCCATGAGAACTTTAGTTCCCTGTGACTTTGAAATCTTTCCGTATGCTGTAGCATTGAGCTCTGTGAACCTCTAAAAGGCCGCCACGGACACCAAGAAGGTCAAAAAATTTGGAATTTTTTTTTTCTTATTCTATTAGATAGACAAACGAACGACCAAAGTAAAAAAAAAATATCGGGATTGGTCGAGCGACAGTCCCTGCATGATTTGACGTGGAATGACCACAATCTGGGAAACGCATTTAACTTTAAATCATACAAAGGTGAAGCCTTGCTCAGAATCGACCTGATATGAACGATAATCATGGTACATGACAAAATTCATTCCTTTGGTTTTTTGATTTAGGAGCGTTTTCTTTACGAAATCAACATCCTTTGTAAACGTGTCGCTGATCATGGTCTGCAGGGCGTCTACTAAGATAGGCTAGCCAAAAAACAGTACTTTTGTAGTACATTCCCGAGAAATTCAGTACCTTCTTACCAGAAAAGTTCAGTACTTTTTCAGTATCCCCAATTGGCGAAATTCGAGGAATTTCAAAGATTTGAATTTCTCACTTAAAATGCGATAAAAATGACACAAAATGAAAAAAATGCCGGACCTTTTTGCGGAATTTCTGCACTTTTTCAGTACTTCCGGACCGCCCTTAAAAAATTAATACTATTTCCGGACTTGTAGACACCCTGTCATGGTGTGTCGTCAGTTTGGTCAACTCTAACGTGAATCGTTGCCTTGTTGTTCGGCCCATTTGATACTAATGAGTGCGCGTATATTTTCAGGGTCATGCAAAAATAAAACGAGGCACGTGCAACATCGAGAACACAGCCTATTCAATTACAATCGAACGGAGGACAAGGGGAGGATTTTCCTGCTTCGGAGGACAGTGTTAGTGTGGACAGACTGAACGATTGCGAATGCATTATATCGGTTTTTTCCGACTCATCATGGTTAAATAACGGTGGTTAATACGGAGCCGTGTGATTTCAATGATTAATGATTGGTTTACTATACTCGCTTGAAGAATACAACGAAAATACAAGAGCAGTTGTAGTGCAATAAAATTGGCAAGACTGACTTCTCTGTCTAGAATGTTTTCTCTTCAACTGAGTTTTCCCTAGCGAAATGATCACTTCAGGTTTGCCACAGAATTTAGATAATGGAATTCCCTGATGTCCCTGAAAAATTTTGATAAATTTCCTAGACATCTGAGGGTATGCAGAACGGTTAAAAAGACATAATTTGAAATACTTTTCTTGAAAACCTATAAGTTTTATGGTGAATAATTTATACGCGTACACCTGGTTTTATGTCATTGACAGCAACTGAAGGAAGTTACATCATTGAATGACTCGTTATTAAAGTAGTTTTGGTCAATTTCTCATATTTTTCTCCTCAAAGTTTACATAGACATCAGGCTCTGGTTTCCTCAGACTAAGAGTAGAAATCCTGCAATGCTTGGCAATTTGTGAAGTATTTGCTAGGTGTGTTTTGTGTTACCACTTCCATTTATAGTACGGTCAATCTAGGAATCGCGTATATGGCGTCAGGGAAAAAATTAATAATGGAGGTTTCTCTGCAAAAAAGAGAAACTTTGACCTTTCTAATTAACATACTAAAAGTCTCCATGAATCCACCTTGTGCTAACGCCGCCATTTTGAAAAACGGGGGGTTCGGGGGTCCCAACAGCCGATTTTTGGGCAGAAAGCGTAATCGTCTCAAAAACCGTTGATCCCATGTAAAAAGTGAAGATGACCAAAATGAAGGAACGTGAAATTTGCCATTCTATAAACTAATGGCAAAATACTTGCATGAATTTTTTCAACGAAGTTTTAACAATTTTCTATGAGTAAGCACATTTATCTGGAGTTTTCATAAAAACATCATTTCCCAAGCGTTATCTGTCGTTAACTCGAAAATTACTAGGTCTAGAGAAAAAATGCAAAGAACTTACATAAAAGAAGAGACATTTTTACATGCAAGTAATTCACACTTGACATTTTTCACGAAGAAAGGTGGGAGGAGGAGGGGGGGGGTCAAAATCATTAAAGGTGCGCTGCGCTATGCGCCTCGGCCGCGGCTCATGGAGTCATACCCGTGGCGTGCGTTCCACTTGGATTCCTACTCAGTTCTTCGAAAATCGATTGTTACACCTACTTTTAACTGGGAAACATATTTTGACCGAAACAATGTTAGTGGAAAGGATTTGTCGAGGGCGGGGGGCCTTGAATATCATACATGATTGCGGCAGGCGGCTGTGCTTAGATATCATTGAGAATGATAATGAATTATTCTCGAATGACTTTCTCACCAATTCGCCTCTTCTTCGGGAGATTTTGACCAATTTTAGTCAGCATGTTGCAGAAATCGCTAAAAAAAGACCCGATGGCAAAATTATGGGTCCAATACTTGGAAATGGTCACTTTCCGGAAACAGTTTATCAAAGCAGGGCGTATCGGTGACTGGGGACTGAATTTACTGTCTGTTAAAATAATGATTCCTAATTTTCACACTGCAGGCCATTTAGTTTATGCCAAATCAAACCACTTATATTTACGAGATATGAGCTCACTGAGAGATAAATAAAACAACTAATGATGGGAAAAATTTAAAAAAAGTTTTAGTTTACGAAGAACTGATAAACTGTGGGCCACAGTTCCAACACTTCATGACAAGGTACGGAACCTTAGGCGCGTCTTTTCGCGGCGTCCAGACGCCGATAAATCTGCCTGATGATTCTGCGTGGGGATGGCAATGGCACCTTAGCGGCGGAGAGACGCTGCGGAAAACGCCGATGGAGGACGCTCCGATCTGTCGTGCCATTTCTACGCATGGTCAGACGTGTTGTACTTCCTGGAGTAAATTATAAATTAATAATGAAATGGCTGAAGTTATTTTTCCTCGAGAGAAGGAGGAGCTGTTGATAAACCTCGTGCAACAGAACCCTCCACTCTACAGACTCAACCACTCAGAATTCAAAAATGTTTCTCTCAAGGCCACCATTTGGAGGGAGATCGCAACAGTCATGGGGAGAGACGGTAAGTTGCTTTCGTATTACTTCACTGGTACAGTAAAGAAAGGCAACACAAAAGGCACACTCGAAAAATTCAGGCATCGGGCCGATGACCTCCAAATTCAAGCCACATTCAGCGTGTGATTGCGGCATGTTAAGTGATCCCATAACCTTCGCCAATGCACCGGGAAGAGTGAGATTCCCACACCGTAGTCCACTCGGCCATCCCACCCTCGCGACCGACGTGGAGTTATTTTGCTCTGTTAAACCTATCCGCATCTATCTCTTTGGCTACACAGATGCCCACCCGCTACTGTTTAATAATACTTGGGTTTAACAGCAAATATTACCTCATTTATCATTTAAATATATTAAATATCCACATATTTCCCTTTTCTCTCTGTTTCACAGCTGGTTCTCAGATATTATTTAAAGACCGTGGGCCGTCGCGGCCATAACTTTACCAACGTATGCCCCTTCTTTTTCATACGGTAAGATAGTATGATCAGAGAGTAAAATCTTTTTTATACATTTAAGTCTGGTTAAAGGACAGGTTTTCATACGTGCCTCTCAAAGGTAAATTATCACTCATTCGATTAGACGCCCATATCAAAAGGGATGCCACTCTTTCCTAAACTGAATGCAGGTGAAGTGACGGCAAAATTTCCGGTGGAATAATGGCTTTGAAGTTTACGGACAAACGATAGATCTATATGTTGACTACGTTAGATACGATTTTATGTGTTTTCTCAATAACGGACGAAACTAACCTAAAAAAACATTGTAGTTGTGATATCGAGAATCCACTTTGGACGCTTTTCAGATTCGTTGTTGGATGTGTTTTAAATTATACAGCTTATTCAAATAACTAAATTGGTGATTCCTATCCATGATATTTTTCTTCTAATTCGTTTATTGAACGTTTATGGAGTTATAAAAATGTAGACGTGTTTTAGTACGGTTTGTCGTCTTCCCTCACACATAAGTGTTCGAATCATTATAATTGTGATTTACATGGTTCCTTTTTGGACTGACAAATTTGTGTGGTTTCTCTTGAAAGTTAGCTTCACTTAAATCAGGCTCCTGAAACGATGACTACGAAAGAAACGCTGAAAAGTAAACAGCGATTTTTGCTTTCTGTGAAACCTCTGCTGAAATTGGACAAGGCTTATGATGAGATTTTACAAGATATATCTTTGGTTGCCGATATACATAAATTCGCAGTATAACCTCCTGGCAGGAATTGATACAGCTGTTCGTGACTTTCCTAAAGGATGAAGACGTTCGGAGCGCATGTCTAAGTGTGACAAAAAACTGTTCCCGCCAATGGCATATCAGCTGGAACGGTCCGGGCCACGGTAGTGGGGGTTGCCATGGAAGTAGTTGATGGTAGTAAAAAAAAGTGTAAGATTGTGTGAATAAAAAGGAAGTTCTTGTTTCTCCCGACTCATTTTGTCTCTTATTTTGTGTCATTTATTGAAGCAATTATTCCGCCATCCCAGAAGTGAGTAAATGTTTTGCGCCTTTTCAAAAACCACACCAAAATAAGGTTGTGATGAAACCGTCTTCCATTTCAACTACAATAAAAACATGGGGGGTGTCGACTTATCGGACATGCTGTTGCGTAGCACAGAGAACACGCGAAAAACAATCAAGTGGTACATAAAAGTGTTTTTCTACATGCTATGTCCATTTTGAACGCACATGTTCTTTTCACCCAAGCAACAAAAAGCACAGAACCACTCCTAGAGTTTCAGAGACAATTAGCAGAGCAACTGATTGAATCTCATTATGTAGAGAGAACCAAAGTTCTGGGTGGAAGACCATCGAATTCAGAAATGCCCACCGGATTGTTAGGTCGCCACTTCCCTTCAGCGATTCCGCATAAAATGCCGGGAAGAAATATTTAATCCATCCCTGTCATGTGTGCAAACATTTGAAACTGAAGGAGAAAAAAAGTAGAGAGAGCAGATACAAGAGCACTGACCACACGAATTAAATCTATTAATTTTTTCTGAGCCTCGGTTTTAGTAATTTTCTTCTTGTTAATTCATGATTTTAATAAATCCTTTAGGATACTATATCCTTTGATTTTCTCAATTTTATTAAAATATTTTATTAAACAGGTAGTGTCATTGTGTATTTCATAGTTTCAACTAAAATTTTGGACAATTTCTTCTCTACAACTTCTGCTTTCACGGCTGTTTCTTATAATCCTGAGCCGCTCACTATATCTTCCTGTCCGTACATTGAGAGCCACAGTTTTGACTATTTTCCTCACACTGTGGAAATTGTTAATGACCGTGTTTCTGATTCAATGCCTTCCAATGTGTCCGCTAATGAGATTAGCGGCACAATCTCTAGTGTTATAAATATCAACAACCTTGATGTACTTATAGACAGTGAATGTTTTCTTGAGTTGGGTGAGATTTTATGAGTGCAAACGATGTCCCCTCTCCTGGAATGGAGGTTGGGACCTCAAGAAATGACCCAGCTCCCGCCGCATCTCCATCTCATGCTCTTTATCTTGGGTGTGCAATCAGTGATGAGGTTTCTCCGTGCGTCAGCAGGCCTACGAAAGGCAAAAAGAAAACGATTCAAAAGACGAGACAGAAGAAAAGAAGAATAAAAGTTTACATGAAGGGTGTGAGAATAGCGAAGGAAAGATCATTGAGAGGGAAGACCTCCGAGATTATGTGTGTAATTTAAAATTAAAAAATTATGTTGAAAAATTATGTGTGTATTTATTTTATGTTTAGTATTTGCGGCCTTGGTCCCGTTTTAATTGGTTTCTTTATTATGTGTGTAATTGCCATAAGTGTCATGATAAAGTATCAATCCCAGAGAGGCAAAGGCATTATGAGCAATTCAGAAGAAGCGGAAATTATGATACCCAAACTGCCATGCTAGGAACCTCTTTTAGAGAGAAACTGGCCGCAAAAAAAGTGGTAGGGCCTAAGAGATATTTAAACAAAAAGTACTTTTTTGATGAAATTGAAGTTTGTCGTCCATTTCTTTGCCAAACACTCAGAGTATCGACGAAACGAATTAATACTGCTTTAAA